ATCACCTATGAGTGACATAGGCTACTTTTTACCGCGAGAGATTATCTCATTCCCACGAAAAAACACGTTATAATACAAGTCAAAATAGTATTTATGATCAGAATTACTTGAAACTTGATATTAATCTTCTTCAATATAATTAAATAAATACGTGGTTTAGCATTTTTCGAAATTCATCACATAAGGGGGTAAAATAGTACATGAAAGTTTGTGTGCAACCTCCTTTTAGACTTTTTTATTGTAGTTTTAGCGCGAGCGAAGCCGCGGGTTCTGCTAGTGAATTATAAATATTAAACATTTTGTAAACGACATCAAAAAGAAGAATGAATATCATATTTCTTTTTTCATTAAAGAAGTTCTATGTTAACTGTGGTCCTATAAAAATAAAATAAGAAATCACCTACACCCTAAGGGTAGAATAATTACTTAAAAAATAATATATTTGTCTATAACTTTATATTACATCTTGAAATGCAAACTTTATTTATTTACTAGCATTGCCCACGGCTTTGCCTGCGTTCAGATGGCCAAAATCCAAATTAATTGTATTTTTTGTCAGAAATGAGACATTTTTCCGCGATAAAAAGTATCCTATATGTTGACCTGGATAACCAGCTTTCACCATACCAAATTTCATCAAAATCCCTCCAGTGGTTTTTCTGTGATGCGGTAACAGACAGACAGATCAAAATTCTAAAAACGATAGATTCGGCCTCTGTATCGATAATAATGTTTATTTCAATAAGATTTTTCAAAAAATATCTAATGTACAGATTCGGCTTAGTTACAATTTTATTATAGATATGTATAGATTTAAACTACTAACACCCACAGCTACATATAGAAATAAAAAGTACATACGAAAAAAAGTCTTTATATATATCTAAGTCAATTTCGGATTTTCATTATTTATGCAATACAGATGGGTAGACTAAGTTTAAATGCATATATTAAAGAGAAGAAATGACATTATTAAATAAAACTATCTTTTCGAATTATTTCGCGGATTTATTTTGATTTTTGGTTCCCGACGTTTCGAATGCTTTACAGCATCCATGGTCACGGGAGAGACTGAGGTGTTACATGTCTTAAAGATATATAGGAGAAATGAATTACAAAAAAAAACAATAAAACAGATTAAAGAAAAAAAACAGCATATTAGGGATACCGCCATTCATTCCTCTATTATTTATTTAGGTACTAGCAGAATCCGCGGCATTGCTCGCGCTAAAAGTCATCCCCTATTTTACTCCCTCATGGGATGAATTTCGAACAATGCTAAAACATGTATTTATTTTAATTGTCTTTAATTTTTATCTTATATTTTATTATATTTTATAAATATGTGTGTGTGTGTGTGTTATTTCTTAAGTACGCTAATGACAGCTTTTTTTCTTTCTCTAGAATTGCTTAATAGATGAACATGACAGAAATATAATATTTTTATTCATTATATATATATATATATGTATATATATATATATATGTATATATATATATATATATATATATATATATATATATAATGAATAATATATATATTTAATATAATTAATATACTTATATCTTTAGTATAAAATAAAACTCAGTCATCTTGTTTATTTGTACCTAAACATAAAATATTAATAGAGATATCTTGACACCAATAATAAAATAATAAAGCGACTAGCGTCCAACGAAAATGCTAAGAAAAAGACATATTAATTTTGACATCTCCCGTCTCTTTCCTTCATAATAGAGCTCGTATAGCGACGTCTCGCTCACTCCCCCGCGCTTAAGTGTCCGACCAGATGTCGGCAGTTTTATTGAAAAAGTCCGGACGCCATATTGTGAGTTAGTGAATTAAGATGTAGCGCGGAAAATTGTTATTATAGTATATTTGAACGGTAAAGGCTATTTATATTTTTATGTAATTAAATAATTTTTACTAACATTAAAAATGTGAAAGTGTTTATTGGTTTGTTATTGTTTAAAGTGTATGTCGGTCTTCTTATTTTTAAATAGCAAACAGTCTGTCAAAGCAATATGTGAACTTCCATACCCATACTAATATTATAAATGTTAAAGTTTGTAAGTATGGATGTTTGTTACTCGTTCACGCCAGAACGGCTGAACGGATCTGGATGAAATTTGACACAGTGATAGTCTGGAATAGCATAAAGGTTACTTTTTATTCCGAAAAATGTACGGTTCCCGGATTTGTTTTTGTCTAAAGACGAATCGAGATGAAGCGAGGGTGACTTTAATCATTTATATTTTCAACTAGCATTGCCCGCGGCTCCGCCCGCGTTCAGATGACTAACAACCCAATTCTTAGGTTTTACATATTAGTATACTCTTACAATACAGTTTTTGTATTTTTCTCAGAAATGATATATTATCCCGCGGTAAAGAGTATCCTATATGTTGACCCGGATATCCAGCTATCATCATATTAAATTTTATCAAAATCTTTCCAGTGGTTTTCTCGTGATGCGGTAACAGACAGACAGACAGACAGACAGACAAAAATTCTAAAAACTATATATTCGGACTCTGTATCGATAATAATGTCTATTTCAATTAGATTTTCCAAAAAATATTTAATGTACAGATTTGACTTAGTTACAATTTTATTAAGTAGGTACTATATGTATAGATTTTATATAATAACCGTCGTAAGAAAGAGGTAACTTCGCTTAGCTTGTACTAACCTCGTGTCTAACTGTAGCCTTACTGTACCTACTGTACTTACTCCAAGTTTATTTATGTACAAATATTATAAATAATTTAGTCTACTTGTGTACAAAGTTTCATTCAAATTGGTCCAGCCGTTACAGCGAGAAGGAGTGAAACATACACACACACTGTGTTTCGCATACAAAGTTTCACATTTAAAATTGTACTCGATACAGCGTTTACCGTTTAAGTGACATCGTATTTCTGAAAACAAACTTAAAATATACCTATAGTAGGGTTAATTATTCGTTAAATATTTAGAACTATCCACATGCCTCGCTAACCGCTTGCGCTGCATAATGTCACAGGGATTTAAGTTTTAGAGCGCACTTCAAACACTGTTAGATTATAATAAGTGCCGAAAAATATTCTCCAACTTCTAGCAATTTGTAAGGTGTGATATTATGATGTTTCTAGCATCCCACTGCTGGGCACGGGCCTCCCTTCAATACGAGGATCAGGCCATGGTCTGGCTTGCTTGACTGGCCAAGTGCGAGCGGACTGAGCATATCCTTCGAGAACTTGCTAGAGTCTGGTAAAAGTGTTGAAAATGATTCGCACATGAAAATATCAAAGGTGCGAGACCCGGGATTTGAACCTGCTTCACACTGTTTCCCAAGCGCGCGTGTTACTACTGGGCTACCAGGCCCAGGCTACAAATAACAAAATTAATTCAAAAAATTTAAAAATGACACTAAAGTACCTTACAATACTTTTTGAATTTTAAACATTTTTATAATTTTAATTAGTTTTACAGGTGAATATGGAATATTATTTATTTAATTTATACCTTTGAGACATCTAACACCTTAGTCTCTCCCGTGGGCCGTGACCATGATTGCTAAAAAAATCGAAATGTCGGGAACCAAAAATAAAAATACAAAATCAAAAATCAAAATCCGAAAAGATAGTTTTATTTAAAATGTCAAATATTCGCGTAAATCTAAGAAAGTATTACTCGTAGTACGTCGTTAGATAGCCTTTAAATTTTATCAATAAAAAGGTTTTCAAAAACTAACGAAATGTAAAAAAAATTCTTCAGCTTTTATAATATTGAGTGTAGGTACCTATAGGATATTTTTTTTTTATTTAATCATTTCAGGTAATATTTACATAAGGATCTTAAATATGTAAACAGAGGCCCATAGCATAATAAGTATATACCTTAAAAGTAACATAAATAAATAAAAATAAAATAATATTGAGTGTAGGTACCTATAGGATATAAAATTATAATTTTTTCATTGAATTCAAGGCAGAAATTCTTTATTTTTACATACTCAGATGGTAGGTGATATGTAAGAAACTCAGTATCTACTCAATATTCGATTTGTGTGTAATACGGTTAATCCTAAAGTGTGGTAACATTCTATCACTACGAGTGGAAAAATAAGTTTAAAAGTTATTTTGAAATGTACCTTTTAATTTGCAAAGTAATCTCTCTTGTCTATACAAGTTTTTGGAATTGCTAATAAAACTCTTTTATTTATTTTTTAAAAGGAGTAATAAATAATAATATAAAATGGACTGGATTATATTATTTTTTTTTTAATTTAAAAGACTGAGGTGAGGCCGTCCGCCTAAGTCCGCCTTAGGCTGTCCTTACTCTATGTAGAGTTACTTTCCATTTTATGGACTTCAATTGTTATTTTAGAATTGTTGAACCATAGAAATTTAAAAAAATATATAGGAATGACATATTAAGATTTTATCTAATAAGAATATAATTTTAGAAGTTTCAATATAATTTTACTGAAAACAGAATAAATCTATCCCACGGGAACCGTACATTTTTCCGGGATAAAAAGTAGCTTATGTGCTATTCCAGACTATAATCTATCTCTGTGCCAAATTTCATCCAGATCCGTTCAGCCGTTCTGGCGTGATTGAGTAACAAACATCCATCTATCCAAATTTATAATAACCAATAATGGGATTAGTAGAATAAATATTGATATAATAAAATAAAGGTTTTTTTTTTAATTCTTTCTTTAGCGATTGAAGAATGACAACTTGTTAAGCCTAAGTTTTTTTGAAAACTTATAAAGCACGACAGTCTACATTTAATATTTTTTTCCCCTATCTTTTCATTCTCTATCAGTAAGTCGTAGAAATAATTTGGACCAATACAAATAAATATTATTTATTGCTTACACTCTCGATCTGATGGGAGGACCACTCGACACGACCGATGAGACATCAGGCGTATGACCGACGGCTTTACGTGCTCTTTAAGGCACGGCTCGCCAAAAACAAAATTTCTTACGAAAACTTCTTATTTAGGCAGAATACCCTATGACTAACTGGCCTGAACCGGGGATCAAACCCAGGATCTCAGGATCTGTAGCCGTACATGTTAGCGACAAGACTACCAAGGCAGTAAGAGTAAAAAAATTTTAGGGAGACCTGTCTCTACAAGTGTCACTATTCACAAATCATCAGTATTAGTTAAAGAAGTGAGTGAGCAAATCACACTAAAATTATAATTGTAAATAGAAATATTGTCTTTTGGTTATTTCATCACTATATTTTCTTTTTAACGTTGGGAAATGCATTTATGCATACCACCTGTATACATACAGGTGGTTATGTGGGACTCACCAAAAAGGCTAGTACTACCCGCTTAAATTAAATATTTAATAAAATATAAATATTATGGAATGAACAGTTTAATATATAAATATGATAAAATTAAATATATTATAGTATAAGTCACCTACATATTTATCATATTTATATATTAAACTGTTCATTCCATAATATTTATATTTTATTGTATAAGTCTCCTACATACAATTTCTACATATAACATGGCCTACATATAAAAAGCCATAAAAATATAATGAATAATTAAAATTAACTTATTCAGTGCAAATATTTATTTAATAGATTTAGCAAAAAAATATTCACTAAACTAGCTATTGCTCGCGGTCCTACTCACCTAAATTATTTATGTAGGTATAATTGATCCCTTGCTAAACATCATAGCCCATAAAATATTTCGCAATAAATAGAATTTAGGAAATAGGTGTTTTTTATATGTTTTGGCAGTTTGCAAGGTGAGCACGTTCAAACAAACAAAAAAACAGATAGATTAGTATTAGTGGAAGTTTAAAGTAATAACTAAGTCTACGAGATATTTTTGTAATTAAAACATATAAGTAGGTACTATATAATATTCTAAGCATTAGGTTTTAGGTCTCACTTTCGTGAGAAAACCTGCATGTCTGAGGGAACCCAACGAGCTCTCGAAAGATATGTGAAATCAACCAGCACTTATCAAGCGTGGTAGATGCTATGCTTGAACCACCACGCATTAAAGGGAAACCCACGCCCACTAGTGGGACGCTAAAAATCTTAACACAATGCAGTACTTACCAACATTGTTCTTCACGGTGTCACGCTCTTGGTGCCCTAATATTGCACTAACACTAAATTTGAGCAATGGTTTTTTTTGTTCTGCATAGTCCTCACAGTTCCTAACCATATCTTCCGTGTTCTTCTCCTTTTCTCCTTCATCACCAGAATTTTCCTGATAGCTGTGCAAGTTGAACCGTTTCTCCAACTCCTCTAACCGACGGATCCCTGACTTCTTACACGCATACGGAGGACATTCAAAAGAACCGCAGTGACAACGACGAGATAGATTGGGAATGTTTAAAACCTCTTTTTCAGAACCTCTGTCGTCATTTCGGTTGTACATGTCATGGTTGTAGAACATACCATCATTTTTCACATGAAAATCTTCGTCTCTACTTTTCGAATCTTCGTCTTCCACCTTCTCTATTTCGTCTACTCGATTCTCTTCGTCGGGCTCCATCATTTTGGGTTCGTCTATCTCTGGGGAGTTTTCACGCGAATAACTCTGCCTATAACTTTCCAAATGTTGGTTCAGGAATTGATTATGGAAGTTGGCTGTTTTTTGCTGATGCAAAATATTGTCTACCAAAAATGGGGATGTCATATTGAAAGCGTTCACATTCGTCTTGTAACACAAGTTCTGTATAGTTTTTAACATAATGTTATGATTTGAAACCAACGGGTTGATTTTTATCGTTCCATGTTTCAAATCTGTTGGGTACATAACGTATTTTTTTGATTAAACTATCTCATTATTTAATTCACTAAGTGTCAAAACACGATCGAAATTCTTATTAGCGACGACGTGCGTCCTGGGCTGCGTTTGAACATCGACTGGCGTTGGGGTGTGTTCGTAAAAGGGGCGGGATTTAGGGTGGTTTTTACCCGCTTTTGTGTTGGGTCGACCAAATTAAGTTGACCTCTCCCTCTCTAGCGGACAAAACAATTCGCTGTAAAAGTGAGATAGGTAATATCTTGGGTCTGTTATAATGGTCACTTGGCTTGCGAACAAGTTTTATTTTCCTGTTGCCTCTAATTCAGATGCAATCTTATGACTTACACAATAGGGATGCTGTTTTAGTTTTTGGAACATTATTACAGATTGTCAAGATGTATGCAATAGCTATGTTTATAGGGAGTTTTATTCATAGAAGGGAGTAAGTTGAAAGTTTCCGCACCCATTCCACGGCATATACGTATTAATACTATTTGTTTTATTTATTTAAACGTTCGAGACAGCTCTACAGGAAATAATGTTCTTTTATCTGCGATTGAGTATGGAAACCACATTAAAGGAATAACAAAAACTTGAGTTTTTTATTACAATTTTTGTAATATGGGTGGTTCAGATATTTTTTAGATACATTAACTTTAGTTCGCGACTTTGCTCGCGTTAATTGATAGAGTCTATGCTATTTAAATATGCTTTTTTTGCAAACGTCGTCATACTATTTAATTGTTATTGTATACGTACTGTAGTTGAATAAGAAAAAGAATAATCTCATAAAATATGAAAATTGTACATTTTACCACACATCATATAATGATGATGTTCTCCTAGCCGATTCCGGCCACGGCGGCCAATCTCATTGAGACTGCTCTCCGAGGCACGGGGTGAAACACCGCCAACTTCCCAACTCCGGGCTGTTACTGAGACTTACTATACAGAAACACTCGATAACTAAACTTGGCTCGACCCGGGACTCGAACCCAGGACCTCCGGGTGGGCAGCCGTACATGCTAGCCACTACACCACCGAGGCAGTGATTTAAATAATAATCAAGTACCTACATATGTATTAAAAAAATTTATATTTGTAGTAGCGTTGTCAATTTCAATAAGTTTTCATACAAATTTTTCCTCAAATACATCGGCGACATTTCCATAATTTAAAAAAATCATATGATAATCTAAAAATAACTAATATTTAAAAAAAATTAAATATTCTTGATTTTAGTAATCTATATAAAAATATTTAAAATAGACAAAGACAGAACAGTTCACTGGACTTTTTGTCTTCTGTTTGCCCGATTTTCTTTTTTTTCGTAGGTATCTATTGACGAGCTTTAGTGTTATCAATAAACAAAGGAAACAGTTTTTTTTTATATAGATATGTAAAGACAAAACAGTTTAGTATGACAAAGATACTAATATTATAAAGAGGTGAAGTTTATAAGTTTGTGTCGTTGTGAACTGATTTAGATGAAATTTGGGAAGAAGAAAAGGTTGAGAAAGAAATCACCCCCTAAAGGAGTGAAAATGGGGATGAAAGTTTGTATGGGAAATCAACCTAGGAAAAATATTAAGTAATTAATTCAAATTTTCAATAATTTTTGTAGTCGATTTTCGATAGATAGCTGATGTTATAAGGAGTAACAATTAGGCTACTTTTATATTTTTAGAAAAAGAATTAGGGTCTCGCTAAAAAAATTAAAATGCACCAGAGCGAAGCTAGGGTAAGTGGCTAGTCATATTAATAAAAGTAATAAATAATTCTATTTTTATAATTTTTGTCTATCTGTCACTTAAAAAGGTCTAAACATACTTTAAAGGGTCTTTTTTATAGTGAAGCCCTCTCATTTGTGTGACTTAAAGTTAAAAGTTGAAACGTGACTAAGATTCATGTCAACAATTTGAGCGGATCAAAATATCCCATATACCAATAGTGAGGTCCATTTTAATGTGAATTAAATAAATATAAAAATGTCTTCTTATACAGAATCGATATCAGAAGTTATTAAATTTGAAATTTCCTAATAAATAATAGGTGCCTACTATAAAAAAATCGTTGAAATGTACAAAAATGTATATAAAGCCTGTGAAATTTCTAGTTTTATATAGCTACTCTGTTACCGCCAACGATCTTTCTGAGACTGAAAGATTAAAAGAAACAGTATTAAGAAAAGAAAAAAGTCTATATCGAAATTAGCCACTCCCCCCTCCGTTATTGGCTGATCGTCTTCAGTCAAAAGAACTTAACTGCGATATAACTAGTAAAGTAATTTAAACTTTAAAGTATTTGTAAATAAAGATGAAATTCAATTGAATATACTATCAAGAAGGTTACAAGAAAAAAGGTTTTAAGGGTTCTCCATGAATATAATTCCACTGTATTTCAAATAGACTAATGGTTGACTGTGGAGGTTTTATTATACAATATTTTTATATGAATATTATCGGCTTTACGAAGTCGTTTGCGGTTTTCATTGTTTCTTTAGTGGTATAAGGTAAGTATAAATGGAAATGCTTGTTTGTTTTTATATATCGTTACCCGTTAATCTTATAATACGACTCGATTTTTTATTAGATTTTGAAAGTGGTAATATTTTTGTACTTACCTGTGACTTTTTATTTTTTCAATTTAATGTTATAGTTTTTTATGAAATGATTAAATAACTTTTATAGATTACTTATCTATCTCTGCAGATTAGCAAGTACCTAGGTATAGATATAATAAACAAAATTACAACTAAGTAGTTAAATATTTTTAAAATGTTGATTATAATGTACCTAACTACCTACCTAGTAGGTATATCTACTAATACCTTAATTTGACTTTTTTTTTAATTTCTTATCTGTTTGTTTTATTGTTAGTGGTTGTAATTCTATCTATAGTATTCCTACTATGATTACTACTATTAAAAGTATGATTAGCGGAAGTACCTTAGTAGAATATATAAAAAAAAATTAGCGAGCGAAGCCATAGATTTAGATAGTTTGTAATGTGTAGGTATAGGTAACTACTTACCACTTCCATAACATATTTTAGAAACCACAAAGTTTTAAAATATTTCTATTGCATTATGACACGCGTTTCATTTTATTTATAGCTAACTAGGTCATATATCGTTTATTATCTAAAAGCACCCCTTTGAACGGTATTTATGCAATTAGGTGATTCGACACGGACAGTTGTGAAGGGGTTGATGTCAAAACATAAATTTATATTTATAGTTTATATCCGCGAAGTATGGAAAATAAAAACTTAAAAAAAACCTTATTATTATTTTTATATTTACTATATAATAAATTATTGATATTTATATAATTCTTCGTAAAAAACATGAAATTTCTCTAACAATGTCTTTCTAGTTTTAAATAAAATTGTTTGGTTTCTTTTTCTTTTTTTTCTTATACTTAATGGAATAAAAAATATTTAGATTTCGTAGATGGCGTAAATATTTATTTTTTGTATTATCAATTTACATCTTTATTCGGTTATATCGACTACTTATTATATTAATAATAAGAAAACACTACATCCTTCCTTCCAGCATTTACAAAATATTTGCGTAATTCAATTAGAAAAACAATATAAAATTTATACGATATTATAAATACCAAATTAATTAAAGCCATAGCGTTACTAATTTAAAAAGAAATAAAATATTGCCGCATGCGGTTGACAGTTGACAGAGATTTTGGCGGGAACACGCGACTATTGTCAAATTAGTCTCGCGTTTAAAAATTTGTCACAGATTAGGGGTGTCGTTTTAATTCGAAATTATATGAAAATGTTGGAAAATGACTTATAAGGTATTTTTTATATTATTGTTAGATATAAATTAAATGTATTATTAATAGATATGAATATGTAAAATAATTGAAATAAAAGATTCAAAGCTATTTTGTAACCTAAATATTTAATGGTTTTATTGGGTTTTTTTTTCTAAATATTTATTATATTTCTAATATTTCTATTCCACAGAAAAAAAACGCAAAATATTTTCCCCATGAACAAAACCCTAAATGCGAGATAAATGACAACCCTAAATTTCTTTTATTATTTTATAAGCTGTAACGATATATTATATTTTATTATATTTTAAAACGATTTTGTTCCAAATGTAACTGGTTTATAGCAATAAGTTATGATTATTTAATTAGATTAAACAATATTGTTTAAAAAAAATCTTTTTTGAAAATATTTAAACAAAAATATTTTTCGGAAATAAGTTTAACACGAGCGTTAAAAACTTATGTAGTAGGTAAGTAATATTTTAATTAATAAGTAACTGCTAAAGCGAACTTTCTTTTATGTTATTTTTGGATATTGTACGTAATTTAGGTATAGAAGGTTAACCAATAAAACTTCCAGTTCCAGAGTTATTTGGCACTCACTGCTTATCTTGAAACTCATAAAACTTTTAACCGCTATCCTACCGGATATGAAAAAGCTTTTGCTTCACATTCCGTAATCCTTTTCGCCTGATTTCATTATCCTGCAATGATAATCAATTTAGAAAGGTTTTTTTTAAGTTGGCATCACACAAATAGTTTAATTGCAATGATAATCAATTTAGAAAGGTTTAAGTTGGCATCACACAAATAGTTATATAATCTTAAAAAAAGTTAAGTTATTTTTAAGCACATTCGTTTTATTTTAATATTTTTATTGAACAACATCAATTGTTTCAAAGTTGTGGGCAATAAAATGATATTTGTGTGCAAAAGGCTACTAATAAATACTTGTTATTTATCCGTAGGTGAAATTTAGATAAAATTCCATTCCATCCTTATTTTACTTTTAAAGATTTGGATTATTTGATTTGATAATTGGATTTATTATTTTAATTTTTATTTTAACTTTATTATCTTTAATAAAACCTTATTTAGACAATCCTTATTGGATAAGTCCTTTAGTTTGCACTTTGCAGTTACAGTGAGACATATGACGCCATCTATTGGCAAAAAGATATCAATGAATAGTGACATCTATTGTTGAATAGAAAATATTAAGAGCTATGTTTTCCCGCAGTTGACCCGGATAACCAGCTATCATCATACCAAATTTCATCAGAATCTGTCCAGTGGTTTTCTCGATATGCGGTCACAGACAAACAAAAGTTCTAAAAACTATACATTTGGTCTCTGTATTAACAATAATGACTATTTCAATAAGATTTTCCAAAAATATATTTAATGTACAGATTCAACTCAGTTAGAATTTTATTATATGTATACATAATGACTGTAATATATACTGGCTTCAGATGGAAAGGTCCTAGTTTCAAGTCCCGAGTTGGACAATAATAGTTCCTGAATGCCCCCAACGACTCGAACCCGCGACCGCTGGCACAGCAAGTAGGGTCACTACAAATTGAGCCCTTGACATTTGCAACTAAGCCAATAACGTGTTGTCATTGTAATACATTCAAAAGATCAGTACACATCTCAACTCATACAATTAAATTCTTCTTCGCATCTTCTATACATATAATAAAATTGTAACTAAGCCAAATCTGTAGATTAGATATTTTTTGGAAAATCTTATTGAAATAAACATTATTATCGATACAGAGGCCGAATATATAGTATTCAGAATTTTTGTCTGTTTGTTACTGCATCACAGAAAAACCACTGGAGGGATTTTGATGAAAATTCGTATGACGATAGCTGGTTATCCGATATACTTTATATACTTACGATACTTTTTACCGCGGGAAAATATCTAATTTCTGAGAAAAAATACAAAAACTGCATTGTAAGAGTATACTTATATGTAAAACCTAAGAATTTGGTTTTTGGTCATCTGAACGCGTGCGGAGGCGCGCGCGGTGCTAGTTTTTGATAAAAATCATTATTTAAAGAATTTTAGAACAAAATAAACTCACAAACACTTTGGTAAGCGGCGTTTAATTATAAAAAGAACGTTACAAATGTTAACATTAAAAATATCACTAGAAATCTTACAAATTATTTCTAATTTATCTTTATATTTTGGGCTGAAGTAGTAAGTATATATAATAACTTTGTACCAAATATTTTTCATTATTTTCAGCAATAAATATTGGCTTGACCTCTTATACATAATCAGCGACAAAAAATGTCCTCACCGAATGAGCGTTTATTTAAACATTTGGGCGCGCTTTTAATATTTTTTTTATGAAAACAACTTTAAGGATTGCATTTAAGATTCAATTTACATTGTTGTATATTTATTTCAACTAGAATAATTAACTAAACACAATTGGTGACAGTTTTAAGAGAACCTTTGCATGGGATTGTGTATAAGTTCTATGTACCTACTTATTTATTTAATAATATTATTATACATATGTGTGTTTGTTTGCTTGTTCCTAAAACAGAGCAAATATCAACATTCTTTTTGGAATACAAATCGTTTATGGGTTGGTGAGTAACAATGAGCTATTTATATTTAATTTAGGTAAATAAAAGCATCTGTAGAAAATAGTAGGTTACAAAATGTTACTAAATAGTTTATAAGCTCAGAGTAAGAACAAAATAAATGGAGCATGTCTATAAATGAAGTAAAACGAAAATTAATATCAGAAAGAAAAGTCAATGCAATATTTATTTTAAATATCTTATAATTAATGTTCAATTTTCTTTGTTCTGTGGCTTAAAGGCCATGGCTGTGGTCATTTTTTCTTATAATTAATTAATTTTATTTTGTCTGATGCGATTTTTTTTTTAAATTTATGTCGACAATCTAAGTTTAGATTGCTTCTTATTATATAATATGGTGTGTTTAGTGAATAAAAATATACATATATATATACATATATGTACTTCAATTTTCTGTATGTCTGTATGTAATATATAAAAACATGCTTGAAATTTAATATAACTCAGCCCAAAATATAGAGATTAAAAAAATATGTGATGTAAAACATAAGGTACATTAAAATCTCTTGGTAACAGTAGTTATTATGGAAACACCATCACAGCCTATAGGCATTCACATTTAATTCCCATGCTTTTATGGATCAGATTAACAAATTAAAAAAAATGATTTTTCACATACATACATTGATATATAAAAACATAGATACACATTTCCTAACAAATATCTCTTCAAAAAGTGGCGTCGATATGTGACGTTAAGTCAAACCAAAAAATAAAATTCAAAAGTCGAATGTTCTAATTGTCTAAACACAAATTCGAACTTACGCACACCACATAAAGTATATTTTTAAACGAAGCAACGTATGTTTTAATTTTGACACCTAAAAAGCAATGAACAAGAGATTTTGAAAAAGCGCTATTCAATTTCGAATTATGCACTTCTTTTAGAGGACACTTTCGAGATGCCAATTGTATATCTTGAGTTTTTGTATATCAATGTTGTTCACACAAGGTCATTTACACACTTACAAGATATTTGAATTTGAATAAACACAAAACTAAAATTTGTTTATTTCATATCGAAATTACTTATCTATACATATATCTTGATCTGTCAATCTATCAGTAGGAACAATTTTCATAGAAAAAGCCGACCAAAAAACTGGTCTTGCGCTTATTTTGAAGCATTTTTATCATTTGTATTTATTACATAGGTACTCAAACTAAAGAATTTTATAGATGGAGCCCCCCAAAAAACATGTCAAAGTCAAAAATAGTAGCGTGATTTAGTATTTAAGCTACTATTCTCGATTTCGCCATACAGATAGGTTACTTTCTTCAAAAAAAAAGTGAAATTTAATTCAGTATTAGTCCTTAAATTACAATTTTTGAATAATAAAAATAATACTATATTCTTTTGTATTTTTAAGCATCAGTTCTCTTCCCCTTGAAAGAGAGATAGCATATATAATACATAATTTAATTTTGTTATTTTTCTTTAATAATAAAATCTGTTGGCTATTTTTATTTATTTTCATTTAATTAGTTATCACAGTAATAACCATGCTATTATATATTTTTGAAGTTATACTTTTTGGCAAATTAGGAAAAAATTATGAAGAGTAAAATTTTTACGATGAGCACACCGACAGCCAAAAAGCGACATGATGAAGTTAGCTGCATTCCTTTTACAAATAGAGAGTTGTGACATACGGGATGAAATCTTTAGCTATATTTGTTCTGTTACGCCAAAGAAGTATAACTTATACACGTTTTTTTAATTATTATATTTGTTCTGAACATTAAGGATGTTTAGTTCATTAACACACTATCTATATTATTCCTTAATCCGAGCATGGGTATAGTTATTCATTTACTATTTATTGTGGTTAAAACTAAGACACATGAAGCTTGTCTTATAAAGTTACAAATGTATTGTACGCTCCATAAAAAAAAATGCATTATTTACATTTTATTTGAGCCTTATGAAGAATTTTTTTTTCAATTAGGTTTTAATTTTTGTAAAAATTAAAAAAAAACACACTCCATTGTTTGAAATTTTAGAAATTACAAATTCATTAAATTTTTTTGTGTACTTTTATTAAAAAAATATGTAAGATTTTGTGTAATTTTATTTAAAAATTAAATAATATGCGTAATTATGAACTAAATTTAGAATATCTATAATTGATCTTTTATTTAATATTAAATTTGAAAATTGTAAATCTGTATTATTTATTACATATTTGTGGCTGATTTTTTCTTAAATAGTCACAGATAAAAAAGTATTTTACTAACAAGTGTCTTTTTTCATGTATTAATTGATTTTTTTTAATCTGTACCTATGTTAGATAAATATAATGTAATTTTTTATGACATTATCTTTTTGTGTATTTGTGTACAGTAATAACTTTTAAAAAGAAATTGATAGCAAAAAAAACATTACGAATAAAAAAAAGTCTTTTACAAGATTTGCAAAATATAAAAAAAATTAAAAGTCATCATAATGTATGATTTTTAAACTTTGTTAATTTAAAAAAATTATATTAATCTGTACATACAATTGTCACAGAATTAACAAAAAAAAAATTTTTCTTCAAAAACATTACTTTTTTTTAATTTCCTACATTATGTGATTTATACTTTATTTATAAATTTATAAATGTATAAAAAAAACAATGAGCTCCATGCTTTTAAGTGAAAAAGTTTCAAATTGATAGCAAATATTACTTAATAATTGTGAAATTTGACTAGTTTTTATGATTTAAAGTAAGTAAGTACTGCAAAGAAATTGTGACGATAACTTCACTGTATAATATATCAAAAACCTTGATAATTGATTTGTATGGAATTTTCAAAGTTCAATTATTAATTAATTATATCTGTACAAAATATATCCCAAAACATTACTAAAATATAAGAGAGCATAAGAAAATTAGAAAACTAAGTACAAATAATCACACACACTCGTTAAATCTAAAAAGCAAACATTTTGCACCATTCCAATACAATATGTATGGAAACAATTAAAAACACTAGATTCACAACTTGTTACTTAAAACTATGACGGTTCCGGCAATGATTCCATTTTACTATCACACGCAAACTGATCACCTTTTTTCACACTTAAATTCTGTATTTTTTCACACTCATCACTTTTCATTAAATTCAATCCTTGATCACTTATTTCATCACTTTGCAAAGTATGTTTAAATTGCAAATGTTTCTCCAAACTAGATTTTTGAACACAACGGTATGGACAATGAGGGCATTTAACGGATTTCTGTCTTGGTTTATATGGTTTTATTTGATTTTTCACATCTAATTTGTCACCATCTTTTTCATTTAAATGCCTTTGCCTGTGTTTCGTTAAGTTTGTTTTTTGAACGCACCTATAATTGCACATATCACAACTGAAGGGTTTTTTGTCTGTGTGTAAGTACATATGCTTGACTAAATTAGGTTTTTGCACTGTTCTATAATCACAAAACGGGCATGCAAATGGTTTATAACCCGTATGGGTCCTTTCATGGACAACTAAATTATTCTTTTGAGCACAACGATACTCACAATATCGACACGCGAAGGGTTTTTGCTTCATATGCACTAGAATATGTTTGGCTACGTTGTTTTTTTGGCCAGATTTATAATCGCAGAAGGTACACGCGTATGGCTTTTCCCCTGTGTGTGTACGTTCATGTATTTTCAATATGGCCGGCGATTGACATCTGTACGCACATTGACTGCACGTAAATTTTCCCATCTTCTCTAAATCTGTACTATCACCGTTTTCACATGACTTTGCGTGCGATTTCAACACTCTCTTCGAAGGAAAAACTTCATTACATTTATAACATGTGTACTCCCCCTTAATGCTCATGGCCAGTTCTTCAGACATTTTATTGTGAGAACTCAAATCATTTTCGTTTTTTTCCACTATAACATAATCATTTGTATATTCATAAAACATTTTGTTTTGATCTGTTGGTTTTAAATTCTCTTTGGGCTCTTCATTTTTGTCCTTTTTCTCGTCTTGTCTTAACTTTTTTATATCATCTGTATAAGGACTGGAGTTATCAAAGTCTTTATGGATAACTAAATTTTGTGGGTTTTCCCGGAAAATATCGGGAATGTGATTCTGCACATAATTTTGCTGTCGCGAATACAAATCTATGGGGTTTAAGGCTGGGATAGACATGTGATTGTTATACACTGAATATATTTGTTCGTGCTGAAGGTTTGTATTTGGCTGAGTATGGTCAGTCTGTTGCGTGATTTCTCCTGAAAAAAAAAAAATTTTTACTGATTCAATTGTTCATTGTATAAGTTTTAATAGCTTGCATTATTAACTTTATAATTAAAACAAAGTTATCAATATGAGTATAACAGATTAACTAACAAAAGAAATATTTCGAAAACTTGTAACATACTTTTATCTATACATATAATAAAATTATAACTAAGCCTAATCTGTACATTAAATATTTTTTGGTAAATCTTATTGAAATAAACATTAATATCGATACAGAGGCCGAATCTAAAAGGAGGGATTTTGATAAAATTTGGTACGATGATAGCTAGCTGGTTATCCGGGTCCACATACAGGGTACTGTTTACTGCGGGAAAATATCTCATCTCTGAAAAATCTATATTAAACGTTAAAACGTATCCGAAAAGATTTTATTTAAAACTAGCGAGGGTGAGTCGCTAGTTTTAAATAAAACCTTTTCGGATTTTCGACGGTAGACTCGTCCCGAGGGTCTCTACTGTGACCATGATTAAACGTGACATTCAAAACGCCACGAGCCAAAAATCTAAATAAATCCGCGAAAAAATCCGAAATATCAAATATTCGCGTAAATCAAAAAAATATTATATTTTTATTTTGTTATTATTATAAAGAGAACGAAATTATTATATTGACATCCGGTTGTTGGCAATAATTCAAAGTGGATTAAAATCGATCTCCAAGATTTCATTACATTGTTTCTAGTGAAGCTCGTTAAAATATAAAAGCCAGTTTTAATAAAAAAGATGTATAAAATTGAACGTTTTTTATCATCTTTTATGCAAACACATGTTAATTGCTTGCTATAAATATTTTAGATGAGTTAGAAAAGGTCAGAAAACCAGTTTTCGATACAATTTCCATTATTTAAATCTATACATTAAATTTGAGTACACGGGCGACCGAGCTTCGCTCTAATATATATTTTTTGTGAAAACTTGCGTATGTTAGGAACAGACCTATATAGGATAAACTTAAAAAGCGAAACCTATCTAAATACAAAATTTGATCCAAATCGTTAAAGCCGTTTCCTAGATACACGAAATGTTTTTTTATATAGTATACAAATATTGCTAATTTAATATTATAAGAGATGCTCACGTTTAATCTATTTTTAAAGAAATATTTATCAAGAATTATCATAATAGTCAAATAAAAAAAATTGAATTTCATATTTGAGATACATATTTCTTATGTCGACCATCAAAGAAGTATTCTAAAAGTTTCTATAGTGGCTTGGTGAGATCGCACTTTTCTTAATATTGGAATTTAAAAATATATTATATATAAAAATAAATACGTTATTTCAAGTTAAGTGGAATATTTTTGTATATAATGTAATTTATTTTATATGTAAAAATTCACCCCACAGAAACGGTTTAGATGAAATTTTGTATGGAGATGATAGTTTGAGACCCTGGGAAGGACATAGAATATTTTATCCCGGAATTCATCCCTTAAGAGGGTGAAAGGGAGGGTGAAAGTTTGTATGGGGAATTTAATAATTCGATAACAATGAACTGATCTGATTCTAAAGCCAAGAGGTTGAGAATTTTTTTTAATAGCTTCTAGAGTATAGGCTCATTTGATTTATTTTAAAAATATTTATTCTCAGTTACATACCATTAATGCCAGCGTTGTTTAAGCCTTGATTGATGTTTTCATAGAAATAGCCGTCATCTTCCTGCTCTGACTTTATATGACACGGCATTGGAAATAAATGCTCGTTTTGGTCCAACTTATGGTCTTGTAATAAACCTGAGTTGAATAATCTATGGTCCAAGCGTTGAGCTAAGGTTTGATCCAACCGTTGCGCCAGAGTTTGGTCCAATCTTGACGCTAACGATTGGTCCAGTCTTTGTGCTAATGTTTGGTCCAATCTTTGAGCCAACGTTTGGTCTAATCGTTGTGAAAGAGTTTGGTCTAATCTATCCACATTTTGATCCAAACGCAAAGCCATATTTTGCTCTATGCGTTGAGCTATATGTTGCTCCAATAAATGATTGTCAACAGCAGTTTGGACGGACATATTTCTTCTAGAATCTTCTTGGTTCAAAATAACGTCGTTTTCTAAATTTTGACGACTCAAGTGCGAGAGGTCCATTTCGTTAACCAAGTCATGTTGTAAATCTCTATTAATATTCTGTTGTAAATCATTAATACGTAAATTTTGATTGATTTCTGCCATGTTCCTAGTAAGCTCGTGCTCATGTAGCATTCCGTTATGTAAATCCATATCGTTGTTCATATTTCTTGATAATGTTATATCAAGATTCCGTGATAAATTCTGCGTTAGTATGTCATCGTGTCTTAGGGTTTGTGGCAAATCGTTTGGCAAAGAAATTAGTTCCATTTCCATCGTTAAATTTTTTGGTAAATGCGCTGGTAGCTCGTTAAAATTTAGAGAACGTGTTAATTGGTTTGTTTTAAGCATGAGAGTAGACATTTGTCGTGGGGATATTGGAAGTTGGAAATTATGAACTAGTGTACTATTGTTAAGTGAGGACTGCATGGCTTGGTGTAGCTGTTCCATTGATATGGCTGTATGTTGATATTCCGTTGTCTCTATTTGATGAGATTTCTGCAACTGTAATGAAAAAATATATAAAATTTTGCGTGTTATGTTGGCAGCATATTAAAAATATATTGTACTTATATCAAAAATCTATTTAACTTCTATCTTCCAATCAATACTGAAATCTCAATTACAGTAGTGCTTTACAATGCTTTACAGAGGTACGAGTAAGAACTTTTATGTAACTTCGAAAGCTGAATCCGTTAACATAACACAAGTATGTTGTATGAATGTTCGTTCACCGTTCACGGATTCTGCTGATCTGCTGAAATGTTTATGTAAAAACATAAAAATCCTTATAAAATTTATTTTGCTGAACTTATTTTCGTTGGGTTTGTAAATATATTTTGGATTTTTACTGTACCGAGTCAAGGCTCCCTCCTTATGTCTGCTTTCGCCTATAAGCAGGGACAACACAATATTATGCTCTCCATTGCCCTCGTACTAGGCGACCGTACCTTACACTTCGTAACCATAAAAGTGATTTAATGACAAAAATTAATTAATATTATTATATATTATTTGATAGTTGCTACTGTATAGTGATTGACAAGTGCATATCTTACTTCTAAATAAATGCGAATGTTTGTATGGATGGTTTACAAACCACGCTAGAACGGCTGAACGAATCTGGATGAAATTTGGCACAGAGATAGATTATAGTCTGGAATAGCACATAGGCTACTTATAATAACGGAAAAATGTACGGTTCCGTGGAATAGATTTGTTTTGTTTTTACGAACCCGAGCAAAGCGAGGGTGAGCTGCTAGTGGGATCTAATTAATAGTAGACCAAAAATTGTATGGCTCACACAAATTAAACATGCATTTTCATAATTAGAATATGCAAGACAAGAAACCACTATATTATATTGTTAATACAAATATGTTAAACACATAAACATTTGGTAAGAAAAAAATAACTTCTAATATACCCCACTTGCATCTGAATGAGGTACAATTTATTTTCCTGAAGATAAACTATTTATGACAAGTAGTTGTCAAAATATTTCTTAGATTTACACGAATATTTGACATTTTAAATAAAACCCTATATCTTTTCGGATTTATTTTGAATTTTGGTTCCTGACATTTCAAATGCTTTACAGCAACCATGGTCACGGGAGAGACTGATTTCTCTGACTGGACCGGAATCCAAAAAGATAGTTTTATGTAAAATGGTTGTAATCTTATCACATATAGTATTAGCGACTCACCCTCGTCCGCTCGGATTCGTCCCTACTTACGTTTTAAAATGTAGTATAAATTTCTCAGAGATGACATATTTTCCCGCAGTAAAAAGTATCCTATATGTTGACTCGGATAACCAGCTACCATCATACCAAATTTCACCAAAATCTCTCCAGTGGTTTTTCCGTGATGCGGTAACAGACACACAGACAGATGGGCAAACAAAAATTATAAAAACTATAGATTCGGCCTCTCTCAATAATAATGTCTATTTCAATAAGATTTTCCAAAAAATATTTAATGTACAGATTCGGTTTAGTTACAATTTTATTATATGTATAGATATAAATCAAATTTATAATATTATATCTTACATCTCGTAAGATAATTAATATCTATATGATAATTTTTAGGCATAGTAACAATGTTACTAAATTGTAAATTTGCTTATCTGTATCCTATAGATAATATATAATAGTTTCATCTATAATTATCACTTCAATAGACATCATAGATTATTATTTATTATATGAAAAAAAAGAAATGTTTAGCAACATAAAAATCCATACTAATATTATAATATGAAAGTGTGTTTGTTTGTCCTTCTTTTACATCGAAACAGTAACGGATTGGGATGATTTTTTGTGTGGAGATAGTTGGAGGGCTGGAGAGTGACATAGATTACTTTTTATAGGATTATCTTATTTCTATGGGAAAACTTGTTATAATACAACCCACAACAACTCATCATACCTATGTATAGTAATTAATAGTTTACCTATTCAATACTAACCGTTACAATATACCTAGGGGTGAAACTGAGCGAGTAGAGGGTGCACCGCTAGTATAATTACTTTAAAAAGTACAGTTCTTTAAGATATATCAATATCACATTTATTTTGCAAGTACTCATGTATGTTTTTATTTTCCCACTTGTAAAAATTAACTGTCATTTTAAAAGATTGGCATCATAAAAGAACTCATTGGCATTACTTGTTAGTAATAACCAGAATATGGCAACAAGTTCAATTCTAGTGCTAAGATTTCTTGTTTTTTCAGGATTTTGTGGCATTTATTTAAAGAAATCATTGGTATGGATTTTAAGAAAAATCAAGGCCTCATAATTAAAAAAAAATGATTGCAAGTTTGTTTTGAGAAAAAATAAGAAAAAGAAAAAAATATAAGACAAAAAATGATCTTTGGCATTACCAAAGAATATATTTATATACATATTGTTACTGTTAAAAATAATCTTTGCATTATATTTTTTTATATACATTAAAAATTTTACATGCTATCTATACTATGTTAGTGCTTTATATAAGAATAAAAAAAACAGGCTTTATTCAAATAACACAATGGTAACAAATGCACACAGCCCTAACTCCTGAACTAGAAAACTGTGTTTCAGAAGAATGGAGAATAAAAGAAGTTTGCTATATATAAGGTTTAGTAAGAAAAATAATTATTGTGTTCAATAAACGAAAGTTGAAATTTTATATATATTAAAGATATAGTTTGTATGTATAAAGGCCTTTTCATGGCCTTGATTTTTTTACATCAGATGCTTGAGATATAACTTAATACAAAAAGTTTTTTTATACTTTTAATATATCCTCTATGTATTTTATCTGCATAGTAAGTAATACAGGAAAGTGTTTAGTATTATAAGTAATAAGTAATTTTTATTGATTCAATTTTTTAAATCAAGAAAGGTTAAAAATTATTAAAGTATTTAAAAACTTTAAAATTATAAAAAATAAGTTAAATTTTACTTACGCTCTCCATATAAAGTTTGTAGCTCTCTTCATCTATAATATTACTTTCTTCTCGTTTCACGAAATCCATATTCATTATAATATATTTAAATTACTTGCCTAAACGTAACTCTATTTTTTTAACGTACAGATCCTAACCTAACAATGTTATTTACACTTATTAATAACTTAAAATAATCACTAAAAATTACAGGAAAAAACTAAATGTTAGCAAGATCACAAAATTACATGATTCACAATTAAAGGTCAAGATTATTCTTGAAAGTAATAAAACAAAAAAAAAATTTTTGTTCGTTTGACGTTAGCGAGTAAAAGAAAGGAAGCTAGACATAAATAATAGAGTTGCCGTCAACGAACATCTGTCGTTTTGTCTTTGGTTCTAATGTTGGAAGCATTAAAAATGACAATTTTTTTTTTAAATAGGTAGGTATTTCTTATTATATAATATTCAGCAATTATTATATTTATGATTCAAAAAATAAGACTTAAATGTATTCGAACCAGTATTTAATAAATATCTTTATATTGCCTGAGTAGACAAATTTGAAAATATTGTTATACCTATATTCATGTAAGATATAAAACGTAGACTCGTTTATTACTAAAAATAGGTAATGTTACGAATATAAGAAATTAATTATAATATAATAATAATATATTATAATAAAACATTTATCGTGCGCTCGTAGCCTAATATTATGTAATCGAATATTCCGGATCGAATTTTTCATTATAATTTTTCTATTTAACCTTGACATTAGGTGACAGTTTCCGCAATTTTGATGTTTTCTCGTCAAATTAGAAATGTTTGCTTGAACTCGTCTTTTAATTTCCAATATTCTCTAGCTTCGAATTATTGTAAAATATCATTTCGACAGCCAAGGAAGTAAGTATTTTATACAGTGAAATTAAAGCAGATATTGCATAAAAGAACGTTTTAACTACCATAATAGGCTTACCGGCTTTTTTTGATTTTAGATACCTGTAATATGGTACTATTTTAAATCTAAATAAATTCACTGCACATTTTGAACATATAACTAAATTCATAGCGCTAAAATTATAAAACGCAAGTATACTTTATATGGCAATAGGTTATCAAACTGAGATTTAAAAAAAAATGTATAAACTTAAATTTGTTGTTGATCTTTTGTATGGTACATGTTATGTGGTACATTATTTCATTATTTTTGAACAATTTAGTAACTATAATAAATCTTTGGTCAACTTTTTAAAATAAATAAAGTTTGTTTTATAACTATTTATCTATGATATTCTAATATTATAAATAAGCACTTAATACTTCTGAATTCCCAGGCTAATCTCAACATCAACCATGTCTAAGACAGCATTGATGATCATGGCGCAGGGTGCAGAAGAAATGGAGACTGTTATCACTGTGGACATGCTAAGGAGGGCAGGAGTGAGTAGATTTGATAGATATATCAAACTAATTATTTGCACATAATGTCATATTTTTTACAAATCTATCTCCTCCAGACAAATGAAGTATTAAGCTGCTTTTTCAGTTATAAAACTTGATATTCCTAAAGTTACTTTATAATTATGAAATTATAAGTGTTCTGTGTTCAATTCAATTCTTTTATTTCATGGCTTAATGTTTTCAGAGTTGCTCATTTCAATTTTTAAAGGTTGTGGTCATTAATTTGTTTTGTTTTGACATTTTACTATATTTTACACATTATAGTGCACATATTTTTATAAAATAGCTATATCATCTTTAGGATGTGCATCTTCTGGTCACACAAAAAAGTCAAAAGACCCCATCTATCATATTTTTGAAATTGATGCCATAAGCTGTGCTCTACCTTTTACAGTGAGAGCCTGAGCCAAATTAACCATGCTGGGGGCCCTAGGCAATGCAATTCTCGGGGCCCTTTAACCCTTTCTTTTCTAACTTATTTAAATACATTTTTCGTAATTACGCTATAAGGTAGATTTCATAGAATTCTAACTGTTGCATTTGTCCTCATGGTAGAATTTTCACCTATTTTTTTTATTAAATTTTGACTCTATGATACATTTTCAATTTTTTTTTCTCCGTGCGTGGGGCCCCTAGCCGATGCGGGGCTCGTAGGCAGATGCCTAAACTGCCTAATGCATAATCCGGCCCTGGTGAGAAAGGCTTTAAGTTTTTATCGACTGAACTATGAGTGGTATAAAATATTAATCAACCAACTATTATCTTTTCTCCTAAGCATACATATATATTCTAATCATTTTGTAGTTTGAAGTCACTTTGAATTGGTTTTAGCGTCATTTACCCATGAGGCAACCTAAGCAAGAAAAAATTCTGTGTGTTTGTGTGTGCATGTGTGTGTAGGGACATTGTAAGTATGAATGTTGTTGTGTCAGCGGTTTTGTATATGAGCGAAACATATGAGTGTGGTTAGACAGTTACTGCACATTGAAGATTGCGTGTACGCGTGTGTCGAGTAGGGGACATTTTATAAATAAAATTAATGTTACAAAATTAATATTGAGTATTCATTAAACTCCTAATGCAAGCATCTATCTATATAGGGACAAAGGCTTTCACATGTGTATGGATGTGTGTGTGTGATGGAAGTATATGTAATATAATAATGTAGTAGTTTTATACATATGTTAAATCTATACATATAATAAAATTGTAACTGAATCTGTACATTAAATATTTTTTGGAAAATCTTATTGAAATAGACATTATTATCGATACAGAGGCCAAATCTATAGTTTTTAGAATTTTTGTCTGTCTGTCTGTTACCGCATCACAGAAAAACCACTGGAGGGATTTTGATGAAATTTGGTATGATGATAGCTGGTTATCCCGGTCAACTTAAAGGATACTTTTTACCGCGGTAAAATGTCTCATTTCTGAGAAAAAAAACAAAAACTGCAATATAAGAGTATACCAATATGTAAAATCTAAGAATTTGGTTCTAGGTCATCTGAACGCGGGCGGAGCCGCGGGCAATGCTAGTTTAACATAATTTTATATTTCAATTTTCAGGTATCCGTTACTCTGGCTGGCTTGGACGGTAATGCCCCAGTATTGTGCTCGCGACAGATCACTGTAGTACCGGACAAGTCTCTGGCTGACGCTTTGGCTGAAAAACCGCAGTATGATGCGGTGAGTTTTAATATATTCATAACATTTAATTTAAGGGTGATATTATTTCTTTTATTTGTATGTAATGAGAGAAAACAAACAATTGAAACTTAATTCTTTAATAATTATGTAGAAAATTGATTTACTAATAGATGGCAGTGGTAGCCCACTGGTAACATGTTTACTTGGGAATACTTAGTGAGTCTCGGAACTCTGATATTTCCAACATGATTACCACTTGTTTTGCGGTGAAGGAAAACATTGTGAGGCAACCTACATGTCTAAAAGAACCTAACAAATTATTGAAAGACATGTCAACCGCCAACCCGTACTCGGCCAGTGTGGTGGACTTTGGCCTGATCCCCCTCGTATTGAAGAGAGACCCGTGCTCAGCAGTGGAGTGCTTAAAAGGCCTGAATACATACATACTTATAATAGATGATGCTGCGTAAGGGCATTTAAAGAAAAAAATTTTTGACATAGCCATGATAAATAACTTAAAAATTAAACTATGGGTATAAAATATAAATGTTCTCCCTATGTGTTTTATGTGTTAATTAAGAAGTTTCACAAACATTCATATTTATATAGTTTTTCATATATATAGTGAAAATATATAGACTCAAAAAGTTTTTTTATTATTTGAAAATTTTTTATGTATCAAAATAATCTAAGACATCATGTTTTGTTAACTACACAATATTATATCCTAATTCATTATATGTATATATTTTTTTGCGTGACCTTCATTTTATAGTGATGTGCCTTTATTTTGAATACGCTATATTAACCTGTGAATATTTATAAACTCACTTGCATTTTGGCAACCTACTGAAATTAAAGTGTTTTTTTTTATCATTGCTCTTGAAATCTACATTACTTACCAACTTTGAATTTCGTGGTTAATCATAGTTAATTAATATTTATTTTGTTTTGCGATGCCTCGCGGTAAAAAAATAAGTTCTATTGAAAAACAAAGAATTATTGATCTGAGAAGCTGCGGTAAAACTCAAAGGCATATAGCTGACATTATTTGTAGATCACAGAGTGTGGTGAAAAGATTTTTGAAGCTACATGTTGAAAACTATGGCAAAATAAAACGTTTAAAACGTCCGCTGAAATTGCCTCCTAATGTTAAAAGAGTATTATTAAAAGAATTATCAAGTACTGGAGCATCATCATTGACATTAGTGCGTAGATTTAATTTAAACTGTGATGCTATTCTTGTGAGAAAGTGGGCACAAGAGCCCAGACGCTTTAGATATCGACAGTACCTAAGTTAATCTGTCTTAAAAGAAAAGCTTGTTGCAGAAAGACCAAAATGTGCAGAAAAATGTATAAAAAAAAAGGAAAAACTTCTGAAAACACGTGATTTTCTCAGATAAAAAGTTTATTTGCGACTGTCCGGACGGTTTTACATATGATTGGCATGATTTAAAGGTTTGAACGTAAAATAATGTCTCGTGGAACTCATGGAGGTACATTGGTCATGGTTTGGGGTGGTATCACTGGTCATTTAAAGATAGGATTGGCGTACTGTGGTGATCGAATGAACGCTGCTAATTATCGAGAGATATTATACGACCATCTTCTACCATTCATTATGTTGACTGAAGACAAAAACATAATTTTTCAACCGGACAACGCTCCAGTACACGTTGCTCCAACTACAAAAAAGTGCTTTCTTAGATTTACGCGAATACTTGACATTTTAAATAAAACTATCTTTTCGGATTTTTTCGCGAATTTATTTTTATTTTTGGTTCCCGACGTTTCGAATGCTTTACAGCAATCATGGTCACGGGAGAGACTGAGGTGTTAGATGTCTCTAAGGTTTTATATAGTTGTTACAACAGCCTACCCACAATTAACAAAATGAATTCAAAAAATTGAACGGGAACCAAAAATCAAAATAAATTCGCGAAAAAATCCGAAAAGATAGTTTTATTTAAAATACAAAAAAGTGGTTTCAATACTTCGGTATACCACTATTCGACTGGTCAGCAAACAGTCCCGTTTAAATCCGATGGAAAATGCTTGGGAGATCTTAGCAAGAAAAAAATATAATAAAAAAAACCCCCCAAATTAATAATATTTCTCAACTTAAAGACTGCAGTCTCGGTGATCCAAAATTACATCAATTGATGAAATTTCGAACTAAAATTTTATAAAAAAGAATTTATTGATAGTATACCCGATAGACTAATCGAAGCCATTAAAAATAAGGGTAAATTGCCGTAATATGAATTAATATATACATTATGAAGACATTGTTTATAATTATTCCCAGTTAATATTTGCCTTTAAGCATTTCTTTCATTTTTATATTTATTGTAATGAATAAAAAAAAATGTTTACATACACTAAGAGTTATCTTTTTTGTGACCTTTATTTGATGAAACAATGTTTAGAACTACATACTTATTTCCACATACAATCTTAAAAATTTAATATGAGTATATTTTTTCAACATTTTCGATAATAAGGATATGCTTTCTCTCTGTTTCTTCTCCTTTATCTTTTTTTTTTCTCTGTCTTTTTTTCCACATGAAATGTAAATATTATTTTCTTTTTGTTTTTTTTTTAATATTTTTTATGTAACTTTAAATGCACAGACTCATACTCTAATATTCACTTTCTGGTCAAGTTTATTTTTATAATTATTATATGTTTTTATTTGAATGTTGTGTACAGATATAATTGGACAACAAATTTAAAATGATATTTTTAGTTTTTAATACGAAGATGTTTTTTTTTTTTAATTTGTTTTCTGTTTCTGTACTGAAATAAATAAGATAAATAATGTTTACATAGCAAATTAAGAACAATATATTTGTAAACCTACAGGTAATTCTCCCTGGAGGTCTGGAGGGGTCCGATCGTCTGTGCAAGTCGGACGTAGTCGGCTCACTGTTGAAGGAACACGAGAATTCTGGCAAAATTGTAGCGGCTATATGTGCTGGTAAGGTTTGAATGTTTTTGTAAAATTTTAATATTAATCTGATAACTTAGGTGCCTTTCGCATATATAATCATTGATATATAAAAACTAGCATTGCCCGCGGCTCCACCCGCGATCAGATGACCAAAAACCAATTCTTAGATTTTACATATTAGTATACTCTTACATTGCAGTTTTTGTATTTTTTCTCAGAAATGCGATATTTTCCCGCCGTAAAAAGTATCCTATATGTTGATCCGGATATCTATCACCATACCAAATTTCATCAAAATCCCTCCAGTGGATTTTCTGTGATGCGGTAACAGACAGACAGAGATACAAAAATTCTAAAAACTATAGATTCGGCCATTGTATCGATAATAATGTCTATTTCAATAAGATTTTCCAAAAAATATTTAATATAACAGATTCGGCTTAGTTACAATTTTATTATATGTATAGATATAGCTATTATTTTGTTAATTCTATGATTATTAATAAAATTGTTTCTTTTTTTAGCTCCAACAGCATTTGTAGCCCACGGTGTTGCCAAGAACAAGCGTATAACATCATATCCCACTACCAAAGACAAGATTACCGCAGACTATACATATGTTGAGGGGGAGAGAGTGGTTGTTGATGGCAACATTGTTACTAGCCGGGTGAGTGTTGCTAGTTTATGGGATGAATTTTCATTTTATTTAATTGATTAATAAATTTTAAGAATTAAAATAATGTAATAATGTTGATTGTTGTAAATATATTTTAGTTACTAATTTTTGAATGGTTTTAAAGTTTGCTTTAATCTGTAATTTAAATGAGATTATGCTAAAAATTGGGGATTTTTCTTATAAATTAAAGCCATACAGTATACAGGTGTTTTTTTACTGACTAGTGAAATTCAAGTTTTTTTTGGAATCTTACAGCCAACTTGCACTTGACTATTATTTTTTTATAATTCCAGGGTCCCGGTACTGCATATTGGTTTGGACTTAAACTGATAGAAATGTTAGTTGGTAAGGAAAAAGCCGACCAAGTAGAGAAAGGAATGCTTATTTCTGGATATTAAACTGTAAGTCACAATAATCTCAAAGAAAAGTGTAATTGGCTGTAATATGTATATGGAAATTGTATAGAAATAAATTTAAGAATAAAATTTATGTTTTATTTATCCAAACTAATATTATAAATGTGAAAATGTGTTTGTTTGTTGTCCTTCTTTCACGTCGAAACGGAGTGACGGATTGGTCTGATTTTTTGTGTGGAAATTGTTGGAAAGCTGGAGTGACATAGGCTACTTTTTACCGCGGGAGATTATCTCATTACCGCGGGAAAATACGTTATAATATAAACACAAAAATTAGTTATGATCAGAATTACTTGAAACCTGGTATTAATGCTCTTCAATATAATTAAATAAATACATGTGTTATGTTCTAAGTATTTATTATTAATTAGTATTTATTAGGACTCGGGTGTAAAATGAAACAAGCGTTCACGTTGAAGCCATTGACCAGACGGAAGTGTCTATTTTTTATTTCTTAATACTAATTAACCATAGACAATAATGAGGTTTACACACTATCCAACACCTCCCTTACAAAATAAAATTTTACGCAGAATTACAATTGTTGAAGGAATACAAAATTATTTTACAAATTATTGTTGTTACATTACACACATAGTTATAACTATTATACCTTATACATTTACAATATATATATATATATCTATTACATTTTTCCTTCGAACAAACAAAAAAAAAAAAAAATTATACAATTTTAATATTATGTATACATTGTGCTTGCAACACTATGAAGAAATGACATCTTTTTTGAAGTTGACAATTACTGACATATGACAATGACAAGTGACGTTTGATTATGATTTTGACAGTTTGACTATGACAAGTGACAAATTAATTTAAATTTTTGAAATTAAAACTAATGTAATTATCAAGTAAAATAAACGAAAATTACCATAATAAGACAAAGTTACGAAATAACTAATTGAATCTATCGGGCTTACGAATTTGACGACCAAATCTGGAATATTTTATTGAAGAATCGGTTCTAGAAGACAAAGTTGGATTGGAATTTGATGAAATATGATGTGAATTGGCTGATGGCTTTGATTGAAATTGAATAGTCGGTGGATGTTTTGGTGAATGAATGTGTTCTCTATTTCTACGAAATTCACCTTCTGGACTTGAAATTATATAAGAACGTGGCTCTGGGCCTACTTTAGAAATGATTCCTGGAATCCAAGCATTATAATTATTATGTGGTTGTTTTTTGAAGTAAACTTTTTCACCCTGTTTTAAAGAAGGAAGTGACTTTGTATGTTTGTTATAATAAAGTGATGTTCTTTGTTTATGTGTATCAATGTGTTGTTTCATTCTCCTATAATCAATACATTTAGGTTTCAAGTTAGAATCTGAAATAGGTATCCTAGTTCTAAGACTACGTGACATACACAGTTGTGCTGGAGAATAACCACAGCTTTTAGGAGTATTTCTATATTGTAATATGGCAAGATAAGGATCTTTTTTATCAGAATAACATTTCTTTAAGATATTCTTTATAGTTCTGATTGAACGTTCAACTAGTCCATTTGAGCGACTATGATATGGGCTAGAAGTTATATGTTGAATTTGGTATTCTCTCATAAAATCACTTAGTTCATTTGAATTAAATGGAGGACCATTGTCACTTATGACAATATGAGGGATTCCATAACGTGCAAAAATAGACTTTAAATGAGTAATGACAGTACTAGAATTAGATGAGTTTAAAAGTGCTATTTCTGGATATTTTGAAAAGTAGTCTACGACAATTAAGTATTTTTTATTATTTATATCAAACAAATCCATACCTACTTTATTCCATGCTAAAAGTTTATAATCATGAGAGATTAGTGGTTCTTTACTATTGTTATTGCGGAATGTAAGACATGTATGACACTGACTGACAAATTTTTCTATATCTTTGTTAATGTTATGCCAATAAATTGTACCTTTAGCTAGTCTTATACAGCTATTTATGCCTTGGTGACCTTCATGAATTAAATTAAGTAAATAATCACGCATGTTGAATGGAATTATTATGCTTGTATCCTTGAATACAATATTATCTATGACATATATTTGATGTTTTAAATCAAAGTATGGTTTGACTGATGCTGAAACACATCTTTTGTGTTCAGGCCAACCGTTTTGACAGTAAGTAATTATTTGACTTAGGACTTCATCCTTAATTGAGTTTTCTTTGATTTCTTTTAGTTTTTCAGGACTGACTGACAATGTACTAATTAGCATATTTATGTGCAAGTCTAATTCTTCATCTACTTCTTTCAAAGATTGTTCTGACAATGCAGCTCTTGACAGTGTGTCTGCTATATATAAATATTTACCAGGCTTGTATGAGACTTTAAGATCATAAGGCTGGAGACTTAACATGATTCTTTGTAACCTAGGTGGTATTTCATGAAGAGGTTTTTTCATTAATGAGACAATTGGCTTATGGTCAGTTTCAACCAGTGTTTGACGACCATATATGTATTGGTGAAACTTAGTACACCCAAACAATATAGCTAAGAGTTCTTTCTCAATTTGAGAATATGACTGTTGACAAGGTGTTAATGATGATGATGCATATGCTATTGGTTGATTATTGTGACAAATGACAGCACCCATTGCATCTTTTGACGAATCGACTGACAGTGTAATATCTTTATTGGGGTTATAGTAAGCTAAGACTGGAGTTTTTGTTATAATTTCTTTTAGACTGTTATATTCTGTGTTGTGTTCATGTGACCACGACCATTTTGTGTTTTTTGACAGTAAAGACCTTAGACAAGACGTTTTTTGGGACAAATTATCAATAAATGGACCTAAATAATTGACCATTCCTAAAAATCTTTGTAGTTCATTGACATTACTAGGTGTAGGCATATCACAAATTGCCTTGACTTTACTTTCATCAACTTTCACACCTTTTTGACTAAAAACATGACCTAAATAACGGACTTCTTCTTTACAAATTACTGACTTTTCTTTATTAAATTTAATGTTTATCTCTCTAGCTCTTTTTAGAACATTTTCTAGACGTTTGTCATGAGTTTCTTTGTCAGGAGCATATATTAAAATGTCATCTATCATTATTTTTACTCCTTCCAAGTCACTAAATCTTTTAACCATTTCACTGTGAAAGATTTCACTGGCTGCATTAATACCAAAGGGTAGCCTTAAGAAACGATACCTTCCTAGAGGAGTGTTAAATGTACAAAGTTTTGAGGATACTTCATCTAGCAATATCATCCAAAAACCTTTGTTAGCATCTAAAGTACTAAAATACTTGGCACCACTTAGTGTAGATCTAATTTCATCAATGGTAGGTAAAGGAAAATGAGGTCTCATGAGAGCATTATTTAATTTTTTAGGATCAATACATAATCTAAGCTTTCCATCTTTCTTTGAAGTTAGTACTAATGAATTAACCCATTCTGTAGGTTCCTCTACTTTTTTAATTATATTTTTTCTTTCTAGGGACTCTAATTCTCTTTTTAGTTTATCAGCAAGACGAAATGGGACTTTCCTACAGGGATCTATGGAGGCTATGGCATCAGGTTTTAGCACAAGATGAGCTTGATAATCTTTTAAACAACCTATCCCTTCAAATAAGTCAGCATATTTGGACAAAATATCTGTTTGTACTATATTAGACTGAAATGTGACATTATGTATTCTTTTGATTAACTTTAACTTTTGACAAGACTCTTGACCAATGATATTTTTACATGGCAAATCAACAATATGAAATATTATATCATGAGACTGGTCATTGCATATTACAGGCAAACTACACATACCTACTGTTTGTATAACTTCTCCGCTAAATGTACTTAACTTGTGACTACTTTTTTGTAAGATATTTGTAGATAAGTTTAATTTTCTAAAGTCATTGAGAGATAAAATATTAGTTTCTGCACCTGTGTCTAATATAAAGTTAATGATAATATTATTTATTAATAGTTCAATTTGAAATACACTGTTTTTAGTTGAATTACACAACAAAATTTGACTTACAAATATTTCTACATTGGAGTCTGACTGACTGAGAGCATTGACTTTCTTAATGGTGTGACATACCTTGGAAAAATGGTTTGGTTTCCTGCATAAGTTGCAGATTACTCCAATGGCTGGGCAACGGACACGGTGTATTTGACCACAACGATGACATGGACTGGCTTCTTTTTTCTTGACTGGGCTTCGACTGGTGAGGTTGCCTCTCGACTGGCTCCTACTCGGACTGATACTACGTGAACTTCTAAAATTGTATAAATGTTTGTTAGTCGACTGTTTTTGACTGAATACCTTTCCGACGAATGACTGTGACGTAGTAGACTGTTCCCCTTGTAGAACTTTGGCTTGTTGTCTTGACGTTTCCAATTTTTTGGATAGATCCAATGACTCTTGAAATGTCTTAGGGTCATTAGTTAGAAGTTTTTCCCTGATGTAGTTATTATTGCTGTTTAGGTTCCATGAAAATACATCTTTTAATATGTTGTCGCGCAGCTCGTCGAAACCACATTGTAGGCTGATATTCTTGATATCTGTAGCATAGGACGCAATGTCTTCGTCTTGACCTTGCTTTCTATTGAAGAGTTTGTGCCTTTCCATTGTTATGTTTACCTTAGGCAGAAAAAAATCCTCGAATTTCTTAAGGAGTTCTTCGAAAGAGATGATATCGATGTCGACGTTAAATGAGTAAAATATTTCTAACGCCTCGCTGCCGATGCATGCTAACAAAATGGCGACCTTACGTGATTCAGGTTCCTTTTCAAAGTTATTTGCCCGCATGTAAATTTTTAAATTCGTGGCGAAGTTCTTCCAAGTCAGCGGCATATTTGACGCATGTATATTCAGTTTTTCGATATTATTTATAAGTGACGAAGACGATTGTATAAAATGCGATTGTCCAGCGTCCGCCATGATGTCGTCTGTAGATTTCGTAGATTTCTTTGCAGCTTGCGTGTGCGACATTTTCAATTTTTATTTATTTCATTGACTTTTCCTTTTTTACTTCTGACACCATGTTATGTTCTATGTATTTATTATTATTTAATATTTACTAGGACTCGGGTATAAATGAAACAAGCGTTCACGTTGAAGCCATTGACCAGACGGAAGTGTCTATTTTTTATTTCTTAATACTAATTAACCATAGACAATAATGAGGTTTACACACTATCCAACACCTCCCTTACAAAATAAAAAATTAACAAAGCATTTTTCGAATTTCATCCCTTAAGGGGGTAAAATAGTGGATGAAACTTTGTATGAAACCTACCTTTTTGGAGTAGTTTGTGTAGTTCTAGCGCGAGCGAAGCCGCAGATTCTGCTAGTTTTTTTATAAATATGAGAGCCAATACACATACATACAAACCTAAATTATCACTAAAGATGAACCCGAGCGGAGCGAGGGTGAGTCGCTAGTATGTTATATAAAGTTATATATTATACCCACTTACTGCAGCTTCAACAATTTTCTGAGATATCTTTACGTGACAGCTAGAATATTCCCTCTTATGCTTTATCACGTCGGTGATAAAATTAGCATCCAAATGTAGTACAACAGTATAAAGCCCTATGAAAACATGCTGAATTTGGTCATTGATTAAACGTCATTGTCCCAAGTAATTACTATAGTATTCCCATGAAGATCCATAGTTTGTACAGCGTATTCATAGATGGCGCTGTTTTTATTTAATGATTTTTTTTTATTAAATAAGTTTTAGAAATAATAATACCTATTTATAAATTAGATTCATTGATATACAAAAACTGAAAAATTTAAAACGAGGATACTCATGAGGGAAAATGAAACCATTTTTAATAATTGTAATTAAATTTTATTTGGTTAATTTAATAGCACGTTTAATTTATTACACAGATAAAAAATAAATTATAAAATAAATGCAGTAAAACATGAGAGCATGCAAATGACTTATTATGCTTTTTGCATTATGAAATACAAAAAATCTTAACAGAATATTTTTAAATTAAAAAAAATATATAATGAATTAAAATTCAAGATCAATCGAGCACACAAAGTTTATATACATACAAGTACGTAAAATTAATTTATAACAATTTCTAGCTATCTAATGTAAAATAATTCGATTTGAGTATTTATTTATTTCCAATTACAAACAAATAGTAAGAAACTATAATATTTAATACAAAATAAATTTTGCCATAATTTTTAATACAAATAGTTCAAGGCATTTAAAAAGGCTTATTACCTGTGTAAAGAAAACTAAAATAAACAGTCTTGTTTGAGATTAGCTTCTTCCATCTTAACTAATGAGACTACAAAATTAAATTCACCGAATGATCTTATCAAATTTCTTAAAACTTTATAAAAACGTTACAAAACTAAACAATTACGTAAATATTCAATTACAATATTTAAAATAATTGAAAGTTTAATTACATAATGAGATTGTTATGTACTTAAGAGTTACGAGTACAGAATTTATCTAATCAATAAACCTAAGACCCTATTTCTTTTTAAAACATCGAGTAATTATTATACATTGTATAAAATTTAATGTTTATTCATAATTAATAACTTAAATATTTAATATCGTGTTAATATAAAGTTCAGTTTTTAGTATTCCATTGATTTCCGTTCTCGTAACATCTCATCACAACATTGACAACATGTGTTGGTGTAATTAAAATAATTACATGATAAAATATTCGAGTTTTTCGCAATTAAATATAGATATATAAGAGTGAGATTAAGCTATCCTTGTTACTTTAACAAGTATTAATTAAATAAGCGCAGGTAATAACTAATATACCGTAAAGACGTCGAATTTTCTTATTAATCATGATAAATCTATCATTATGATAAATTAATCTTAAAGTGGAAACAAATATTTTTATGGCAAATATAAATATTTGTATCACGTGGCTATCAAACAGGCTACCAGCTTAACCACATTACCACTGAACCAGACAGTCAAATCAGGCTGATAATTCAAATATTTGATATGAAGTAATTTTTAAAATACGTATATTTAAATCGCACACTAAAAGAATGAAATAGACGGAACGGATAGGACATAGTGACTGAATCCTGAAATGGTATTATAATTTATAGTTTATAACACCACACATGCTGGGTCCACAGTAAGCAATAAGAAACAAGAAAAAAAAATCAAAATTTATTACGCCGACTTTGAACTTAAAATCAGAAAATAATCCTGATATAAATAATAACAAATGTGTGTATAACACTGCGTCTATTTTATTCACTTCTGAGATAAAAAATGTCTTCACTCATTCTTGTATAAATTAAGCATGTGATTTATTTCATTTTTATACTTAAAAAAATGTATAATTAATTTTTTGCAAAGAGTTTTACAACCTATACGATATAGTATGTTATTAAATACTTAATATTAACTTGTATGGGTGAATTAATTTTTTTTTATTAAAATTAATTTCATTAAAGGACTATAACTGGTATTTTAATAATTTTTTTTAATTGAATTTACTAATATAAAATGTAAAAAAAAATAAATTTTGAAAAACTACTAATATTGTTCATGGTAAGTATGAGAAATATCTATATATATAAAAGAAAGTCGTGTTAGTTACTTCGCTTATAACTCAAGAACGGCTGAACCGATTTAGCTGAAAATTGGCAGGGAGGTAGTTTAGAGCCAGGAGAAGGACATAGGATACTTTTTATCCCGTTCGACCGCGTTCAAATTTTTATGATATTTTAATTTTTGGATTTCTCTTAGTCCGGAATAGGTAAGTATTAAAACATATAATTAAAATGTGAGAAAGAAAGATTTTTTTTTTTTTATATCTATTTAAAACGTACCTAGCGACGAACCCGAGCGAAGCGAGGGTGAGCCGCTAGTTAATGATTAAATTAAAGAAACTCAAAAAAAAAACAATTAAAAAGAGACAAAATATTGGGTGAGTGACGACTAAACACAAATAGAAATCTTTTTTTCGTTTATAACAATCTTTTTTATCATAAAAAGATTGCATATCTCTACATTTTATTCAATCATTTATTTGCATGTGACAATCCACAAGTATTTTAATAAAAAAATATAACTTAGACTTATCCCTCGCATAACTAAATAACAGGTAAAAAAGATCATATAATAGCTCAATTAAAAAAATGGCAATTTTGAGGAAAAGCAATCGTTTTTGCTGATTGAATTTAGATTATATTGTTATTGAAGACGATTATAAAGCCTCTATGAAAATCATGTCTTACCTAGAAAAATCACCCATACATATTAAATATAAACTTAGAAATTAACAATCTTACCAGTTATCTAAAAAGTCGAATCCAGTCTTTGGTAGAGTACTATTTTCTGTTAGGGTTTCAGTAGATTGGAAGTCTGTGCCTGACGACGCCTGACTAGATGAGAGAAGTCCTCGGTTTTCTTCTGAAAGATCTGAAATAAAGATATTTATTCATTAAAAAATTATAAATAACCTATTCATTGAGGTTATTTCAAAGAAAGATAAAACACGTTATCTTTGCAGTATTTTTGTAGAGTGCAGTATATTCTTGCAGATTCCAGGTGACGCTCTAGCATCAGGCCAAGGTATTACTATATCGTTGCAATGTCACTGAAGTTACGGGATACCAAATTTCGAATCGATTAAATCTGTGGAAATAGCTCTTATCCTTTTATTGTTTAGAAAAGAGTTGTTAGCGTGAATAAGATCATTTTATTTGTTTTGGCGCTACGATACCACAGACAGATATACAGATACACGCGTTAAGTTATAACTCTCCTCTTTTTGTGTCGGGGGTTAAGAAAAATCTGACCCACAGACGGTGTCTTGTCCCAATTTCAATACAGTTATTTATGATCTTAGAATTAATATAAATAACTGAATAGAAAATAGCATTTTTATTTTTCGGTTACTCCCAAAATTTCCTATTTTCCGGCTCACACCGACTATTAGGAATACATATTTAAAAAATAACATCCAAACCGGTCCAGCCGATCTCTAGCAATGCACTTATCAACTAACAGCATCATTTTTATTTATATAGATTATAATAGAGCACACAAGACTGAAGACCATGTAATTCATGAAATGAAGCCAGCAGCTTAATACTCTACAGTGGGTCAATATGGTATTTATATACAAACATACATATTATATCTTAAATATAGTTAAACTATTCGTTAAATTTGGTAAGATGCCTCTTAAGTAGGTTTTTGTTTGGTACTGATATGCAAAATAAAAATGATATAGCAAATAACAGGGGTTGGCAAGACCTGATAGAAATGGAAACTTTTTATTTTATCGCCTTTCATATTTATATTCGATAATATAATATGTATAACATTACCTATATCGATCAATTATATATAACACACGTAACGAAAATGAGATCTGACACGTCCTTATTTTAGATTAATAGGTTATATTATAATTTATTCCTCGTCACGCTTAAAAATTATGCTGTATATTCATATTCATGTCGGCAGAGAAAACAAATAACCGTTTTTACTTTCAGCTTCTTTAGTTCACATAAACCACATACATTATAAATATTTCGAAAAAATTCATTATCTATTCATTTATAAACAATAAAAAATAAATCAAATCCAAACATGTAAAGTATTTTTCAGCATTAAATTATTACAATTTTTTACTGAACGTTATGAGTCTACTACCAGTTCGGAAAAAAGAAACCTCAGTCTTGAGAAGACCGTCGAAAAAAACTCAGTGTGACTAAAATTTTTTTTTAACCTTTTTTGTAAATATTAATAAGTCAAAATAATTCTCCAACATCGAAATAGCCTGATTGATATTTTTTCATATTTTTTTTTCATTATATAAAACCGTACCTCTGTACGTCTTAACGTGTTTACGTTCTTTAAAAATTTTTGAATGGAATTTTAAATAAGCCTAATTTATCTTATATTTTATGTAAATTATAATGAAGCAGCCGTCACTGTTTATTTAAAGAGCGTGTCACTGTTTATCTTCCTATGAGTAATGTAACAATGTCGTCGATTGTACAAAGATAAAGCATGTTCCACTGACCGGCTAATTAAATAATAACGGCTGTAACGGAACTGTTGAATATCTTGTTGTGCTTAGAGGATAAAAATATAAGTTTGTTTTTATTTCAAACATACACGTTTTAGAGAATTTGGGCACAGTTTTCGCAATTATGTAGACTTTTTTTTGAAGTCATACTTCTTTTGGCACGTTTGAAATAATCCGAAAAGATAGTTTTATTTAATAATGTCAAACATTCGCGTAAATCTAAGAAAGTATTATATGAGAGTAGATTTATACAATGCGCGCGCACCGACAGCCAAAAAGCGACATGATGAAGTTAGCTGCATTCCTTGTACAAACAGAGAGATATGACATCGGGATGAAATTTTTAGTTATTTTTGTTCTGTTACGTCAAAGAAGTATAACTTCTTACGTGAGTACTTATGTACACACACACTTTTTTTTTAAATTAGACAGCAGTCTTTCAATGTTTTCTTTAGGATTTGACTAAAATCTAGACTACTACTAAAGCCTCAAACCATTACTTTCGTATAATCCCCATAATACCATTATTATACATGGATATCTTATCATTAAGATAAAATACAATTTTTTCTAACACTACTGTACATGTATGTATATGTATCAGCCCTTTTAACGTCCTACTACTGGAGGTGGGCCTCCATACAATACAAGGGGGATTAAACTGCAGTCCAACGCGCTGGCCAAGTGCGAGTTGGCGGACTTCAAGTGTCTTTTCGAAAACTTGCTAGGTTCTCTCAGATACGCAGGTTTTTTCGCGATGTTGTCCTTCACCGTAAGGCAAGTGGTAATCATGTTGAAAATGATTTGCACATGAAAATATCAGAGGTGCGAGAACCAGGATTGGAACTCTGAACCCTTCACTCAGTTTCCCAAGCGAGCGCGTTAAGACTGGGCTACCACTGCCTCTACTGTACATATAAAGATTAATTATTATGTTTATATAAAAAAAATCCATAAATAAAATTATACCTTGGCAGTTATAACTTTACATAACAATTCGTGGAACATAAATAAGATCTATTGCCTTAAAATACTATTATGACGCTGTTTATTCGAGTGTATCAAATTTTTAAACTAGGTACAGTTAAAACATCGAAATTGTTTCAAAACCTTGTTGTGTAACATTGTTTACTCCAAACTAGCTCAAAATAAAATTACCATTTCAGATCAACCGACAAACGTACGGCAATCAATGATAGATTAAATTTCATTAATCCACAGTTTGCATATATTAATGGGTACATAATTAATTAATTCTTTGTTGCGTCTTCTCTATACTAAATAAGGACTATTGCATGAAGTTAGCGGATGAAAAAAAAACTACATAATATATCCGTTTGTCCTCAGAATGCCGTGTAAATGTAAACTATTTTAATCAGTTTGAAAGGAAAAGATTTTATACATGGTGTTACTTTTCAAATCTTAAATATTTTTAGATTCAAGTTTTAATTTAAAAATTTGTTTTTTTTTTTTATTATAGCAAAGTTATTCTTACAGATACGTGTTTGAATATTCATTAGGTTTTGAACTAACTAAGCTTACTAATATTTAACTAATACTTTTTCCATGTATAGGTAGAGGATGAATAACTAACTTAAGAGAAATCATGTGGACATATTATGTTACTGTGCCATAAAAATTTTGAAGATTTTGATTTCAAGTTTATTTTTCACAAAAGGCTTGACAGATCTTTCTTTATTATATACTAGGTGCGAGAATTTTGTTTGAAAAAAAAAATGAAACAATTGTTTTTTTTTTATAAGTACCATATATAAATGAAAGTCATATATATGCATTTAGTAAAAAGCTGTTATTTTGACATTACAAACAGACATTACAATTTTATTTATCTGCATAGATTAATTTATTTAAAAATAAAAAGGTAAACAGGTAAATTTCGCAATCAAATTTCATATTGAAGAGAAAAGTTCCATTACAATAATTGTTGGCACAATCTAGTACGTTAATATCGCAGTCTTTCTTTATCTAACAATACACAGTGCATGTTATTAAACAATAGAACATGCTGTGACTAATTGAATAATAATAACTATGCATTAGGATAATAGGGCGTTGTTAGAAAACTAGCGGTAACATATACTGTATATAGAAATTAAAGTCTGTTTGTATTTTTAAAATTTAAAATCTATAAATTTATACAGATAAATAAAATTCAAGTGTGAATTTGTATTTCTATGAAATGGAATTATATACGGTACTTATAATAAAAACACATTTTTTTTTAATTTTCGTCTGTTTGTTCCGGCTAATCTTTTAAACGGCTGGACCGATTTTGACGGAACTTTCACTGGCAGATAGCTATTGTTATAAGGAATAAACTTAAATTACTTTTATTTTAGAAGAAGCAGTAGGGTTCCGCTCAAAAAAATTAAAACGTACCTAGGGACGCACCTTAGCGAAGCGAGGGTAAGTCGCTAGTATATTTATATACTTAAATTAAAGTTATGTTTTTTTCGAATCACACAAAAAAATGTTAGTTTGTTTCTTGGTAAATTTATTTTTTTTAGTCAAAAAACTTTGGTATTGACACAAAATTGTGCTCGACATTATCGATGCTTATGATGATGATTCATATTCTGAACTTTAGAACTCAAATATAGGCTAAGAGGCCAAAAAATTATATTTCTTGTTTCATATGAAATCAGAAAAACATTACTTTTTTTTATTTTATCGAAATAAGTTATAATAATAGTTTGTCGTACAGTAATTCTTAGTTATGCACAAAATAAATCAACAGATACTATACATTTTTTTTATTATGCCTCTACCTTATTGTCGCCTTAAATAGCATGAAGTTTCAGTGAAACTTCTTTGCTATTTAATTACCTATATAATATACGGAAGTCATGTTCCAAAATTATTTCTGAACCAAAAATATATATATATATATAAAACCAATAGTATTTACTAATATCATAAATAGGAAAGTGTGTTTGTTTGTCCTTCTTTCAAGTATTATTAATATTGTCCTCCTGACCAATTTCGCCCACGGCGACTAATCTCACTGAGATTAATATTGCACAAATATACGCGCAGACACAAGTGCACTCTATCAACAGAATGACAATTCATACGACCGGTGAAAGATCAGGTGCAGATACAACGCAATTTCCCAACTCTGGACTGTTACTGAGAATTTTTTCACTCAATAACTAGAATAACTAAAATTAGCCCGACCCGGGAGTCGAACACAGGACCTACGCTGGGCCAGGGCCCAAACAGCCGTACATGATAAGCTATTAGAACACCAGTTCACATACTAAAAGAAAAAACCAGAACAAGTAAATTATTTACATAGAGACAGTTCTTGGAGCAAAGTGACATAAGATTTTAATCCTGATATATGCACATATTTATATGTGATACTTCGAAACAAAGTAAGGCGTAATCTATGAAATTAAGAATATAAATATGTTTGTGTAAAAGCACAAATCTCCAAAAGTTCTTCACAGACTGCTTTAAAATTATGTTGCAAAAGTATTTTTACATGTATTGCATTTTATGCTATCTATTTTGGTTGTAACTCAAAATTAAATTGCTCTATATCTCATCGTTTAAGAGATCACAATGGAAATTGGTATGAAAGAATTTTCATATACAAAGAACCTATTATTATATAATTATCTTTTTAGAGGCTGAAGCTGAATGTAAAAGCTAGTATAGTACAAAAATAGTAATCTATATAGCAGTAGGTTTAGTTGTTATGGAAACAAATGTATGTCCATAAATTATTATAAGTGTTTCCTGTTGTTACATCCACTTTGCATAGACAATTCACAATTATATGCATTATGTATGATTTAAGTTAGCAAATTATATTTTCAAAAAAAAACTATACCTATATTTTTAATTTAAAAGATTGAAAAATTAAAAAAAGACTTGTATATTTTAATATGAAAATGTAAACATTAAAAAATCTTGTGTCTATTTGTATATTGTATTTACATATGTAAAAAATGTCTTTTTGTCATGATTAAAAAATAAATTATACATTTTTTAATCATGACAATGATTAAAAATATATTTTACCGGTATTGTTAATTGATAAAAAAAATTGTATATTATATTAAGTGAATATAGAATGTTTTTTTATTTAAAACTTAGCTGGAATACAATAAAACTCTATACATATAAATAAAATTGAAGTGACTGTTTGTAATGTCACAATAACAGCTTTATACAAAATGCATATGAAATTATATATGGTACTAAGAAAACACAATTTTAAAAATGTTGTCTCTTGTTTGTTCTAGGTAATCTCCGAAATAACTGGACTGATTTTGATAGGACTTTCACTAGCAAATAGCTGATGTTATTAGGAGTAACTTAAGCTACTTTTATTTTAGAAAAAGAATTAGGGTTCTACTAAAAAAAAAAAATTAGCTAGGGACACGCCCGAGCGTAGTGAGGGTAAGTCGCTAGTAATAAATTAAGAATATTTAATAAAATGCAACTCACCACTATTAGATTTCACAATACTATTCCTATAATCTCGCTCAAACTTGCTCTCATTCTGTGGACTTTTGAAATTTGTTCTGAAGAAATTCTCCGAAGATGCAACAATTTGAGTCTGAGGTATAATCGGAACCAAACACTCCCGTTCTTCATCTTTACATTTAAAATTACCCATAAATTTACTAATAAAACCAGTTGGAGACATGACTTCCTTGTCTTCTTTTCTTTCATGAGACTCCTTCTCCTTAAATGCGCTTTTTAATACATCATGAGATTTCAAGGCATTTTTCAGCTCATTTACAACTTTTGAATGTGATAGAGCTAGTTCTGTCATGATTGGTGGAGGTGATGTACATTTTACATCTTTTGACACTCTATGTTCCGTTAATATACAAAGATTTAGTTGACTCTTGGTTTGATACAAAAATGGAGCAGAGTGTTCATCTCGGTAAGATGTATTTTCATCTTGAATTATTCTCAGACCATGTTCATGACCAAAAAATGACATTAAATTATCCTTCCTCACTGGTGGATTGTTTATATCAAATTCCAATGTGTCTAATAGGGCATATTTTAATACAATTTCTGGTTTTATTATGGATTCGTTTATTATTTCTGCCTGAAAAATATTATAAATATTAAAATTCAATACATAATATTTTTTAACCATCATCTTATTATTATCTCATAATTCCTATTTAAATTGTCTTAGAAAAAAAAACAGTAAAAATATTTTTGATGATTTATTCAATGATCAATAATTAAAATAATGACTCATTCATTATAATATAGCCGCTAATAATAATAAATAAAATACACTTACCTTTTCCTTTTCTGTGAGAGTATCCCAAATATTTTCATAAGAATTTTTAGTTTCTGTTATATCTTCGTGAATTTTAGAGGCTAAAGGGTTCATCGTACGAAAATATTCTTCCGCAACGGCGCTCAACGCCATTATTGCGCGATAATAATATTTAAAGTTATTTAATTTTTATTACATTAGTTTCGTAATTGCATTTAACACAATTTGTTATTACAAATAGGAAATGCTTAATGCACAACCGATTAGATTCACGTCAAAATATATACATATACAAATGAAATTCAATATTTCAGAATGACTGAATAGTTAATACATTTGGATGTCAAAATTCGGAAGCCGTAACTGCTCATCCGCAATGCGAAATGTTATCACCTATCAACATTTTATTAATTTTTAAAATACAAAATATAAAAGTAAAAACAAATAAATTTGATAGTGTCGAATATTATATATTAAAACTTTTAAATATTAAAATATTTTTATTTTTTCTTTATTTTCATTTACGTTACGAGTTAAGAAACATTTTTTAATTCTTTTAATTCCAATTATTGCAGTGTAATGAATATTATTATTAATATTATTATAAAATAAATTTTAAAATAAAACATGGGATAAAATATGAATTAAATTATATTTTATATAATATTACTTTTGACCTCTCTCTAAATATGACAGATTAAACAAAAAAAGCTTTTACAACATTTAATCTGACTAAAAGTAAAATATTTTTTGAATTGACAGTTCAAGTGACGCTCTCGCTCACTTCTGTAATAGACAAGAACAGATCTATATTTTCTATGAAATTAAACAAGGACAAAAAATGTTTACATCTTTGCTAAAACGAAATAGCTATACATGTGTTGTAGTTAGAGACATATTTTCATTGGTCGGTTAATAGTTAAGGACAGGCGTTCCCGTATCAGAGATTATTTTATCGAACTCATTATACGTCAAAATGGCCATAGTTTCTGTTTATTTAGTGTTTTCTTGCTCGTATAGTTATTGTAAAATCAAGTGCGAATAAGTGAACGACTACAACAATGTTGCATAATACAGGACAGTACGGTCAAAGCGACGTGCCATTAAACGTTTCACAAGCGAATATGATGAGCGGTCGTGTAAATATAGGGAACAATATTAATAATTTGGATAAGATACCTCAGCATCCACCACCACCAATGAACTCACATTTCAATTTACCAGAATATAATCCTTATGGCCTCAATATGAATGCAGGTTTGAGTCAGTTTCAAAATTTTCACCCTGTTGGTTTCCCACAAAACTCAATACAAACTTGGCAAAATAATGCTTTGCCTATGAATCTAAACATGCACAGTCAGCAGGGTTACATGTATGGAAAACATGAATCTGAATATAAAGATCAAAGCTGTAGTAAAAACATGTTGAATGTTCCACAAGTGCACACAAAAGCGTTTCATAAACAAATGGGTATGGATATGGACAATTACCACAATCTGAGTTCTAATTATAGACATTATACAGATTACAATCCAGACTTAAGTGCAAAATCTCATAAAACGGATACAGATATCAGACTATTAGAACATAATCACAGAATGGATGAAAGAATTTTAAATGCACCATATGTAGAGCAAAATTTAGATCTAAGTAAACACAAAATGACCAACCATTATAACAAGCCAGTTAGTATTTATCAAAATTCAGATTTACCTATAGCAATAAACAAAGAAGATCACCATGTAAGTCTAAATAATCATATTGATTTAAGTACTAAGTCCCATAAAATGGATGATAAAATTCAAAGAGGGTATCCAGAGGATATTTCAAATACAATGAAACCTCCAGAAAGTTTACCATATCCCGAGACCCAATTAGATTTATCTAAATCTCAAAAACCAGATCTTAGTCCGTTTCAATATAATTCGGATATAAATAATAGATACTATAAAGATTCACGAAGGAGAAGCTTAGAAAATACTGTTAAAATGATTGAAAATATAATTTCGCATAATCAAAAGAATCAAGCAGAAACATACACAAACAACAGCAACAATGATATTGTTAATAAGAAAAATTCACCAATAAAAGATGTAATTGAAACTTCTTCTTCACATACTAATAAAACTGTAGACTGTCCTACAAATAATTATGAAAATATGCAAACTGATGATCTAGCCAATGATAAAGATGATGAAAACTTAAATGAAAATAACGAGAACTTAAATGAAAATAACGATTCAGAAAATAATGATAGTACTGATGAATCTGATGATTCAGATGATGAAACAAAGGTTGATTTGGAGAAAGATCTACCAATAGAAGATTCAGTTGAGGTAAAAATTGAAGTGGTCCCAAGTATTATGGATATGGAACATTTAAACCCATTTCATAGAGACATGTATGGGGTAAGAAGTGAAGATATTGGCGATAACGATATTGTAGATGCAGATAAAAGTGTTAACTTGGCTAAAGAAATTATAAGTAACAGTAAGTGTTTTATGTTATGTACCAATATTTTTGTTATTGTTATTTTTGAATAGGATTACATTTCTTCAAAGACCTTAAACCTATAAAAATAATTCATATACTTCTAAAACAATGAATATATTACTTCTTTTTTTGTTTTCATTTGCCCTTATAATAATTAATTAACTTAATAGGTAACTTATAATAAATATTTAGTATTAATTTTTTTTTTAAGATATACAAGTTACTGCAGCATACTTCGAATGTCCACACTGTACACTCTTCTTCAACAATCCCAAACGTTTTCTTATCCATGTGAAATGGCATACATTTGGCCTAACAAATGAAAAACGTCTAGAACTTCAAAAAGAGAAAGAAATGCAGCGGTATATGAAAAAGGAAGCAAGAGTCATGGAACGCATGAATCAGAATGAAGTAACAGATATTAATGCACCCGGAAGGAAGTTCAGCTGTAAAGAGTGTGATAAAGTTTTTACAGCGAAGGCTGCCTTGAAAAACCATAAACAAAGGTGAGTTTTTTTAAATAGAGAACATGCCATTAGGGTTGAACTACTTATGTAATCATATATTCAGCCCTTTTTAACGTCCCACTGCTGGGCGTGGGCCTCCCTTCAATACGACGGGGATCAGGCCGTAGTCCACCACGCTGGCCAAGTGCGGGTTGGCGGACTTCACATGTCTTTTGAAAACTTACTAGGTTCTCTCAGACATGCAGGTTTCCTCTCGATGTTTTCCTTCACCGTAAGGCAAGTAGTGATCATGTTGGAAATGATTCGCACATGAAAATATCAGAGGTGCGAGACCTGGGATTTGAACTCGCTTCACTCGGTTTCCCAAGCGAGCGCGTCACCACTGGGCTACCACTGCCTTATGTAATCATATTTTTGTATAATTAAATTATTATGTATACAGTCTTTAAGGCCCCACTGCTAGGCACTGTCTACTCTCAGAGCGAGAGGGACCAGGCAATAGTCCAACACGTAGGCCAGGTGCGGCTTGGGGAACTTCACATGTCTTTTGCAAACTTGCTAAATAGCTTTTCAAACATGCGTTTCGTGACAATATTTTCCCTCACAGTATTAGCAAGTGGCAAACGTATTAGAAATGATTCGAGCATGAAATTATATCAGAAGTGCGTATAAGTCTTGGGTTCTACCCGCGCCTTGAATCCGCATCACTTAATTTTCCAAGCGAGCGCGTTACCAATTGGCTACTACTGCATTACAATTGATTATATACTACATACACTACTTAAATGTGGAAGTGAGTGTTTTTTACATCTTGATGTGCTAACATTTTCAAAGATATTGATAAAATGTAATATAGATAACTAGCATTGCCCGCGGCTTCGCCCGCGTTTAGATGACCACAAACCAAATTCGTAGGTTTTACTTATACTCTTACAATGCAGTTTTTGTATTTTTTCTATTAGAATATTTTCATTACCATTAAAAACACCATTACCGTCTTAACCAGATCGTACTAGCATTTGTATATAAATAATATACTTATAATACTTCCCATTAGAAATCGTATCCACGACCTACGTAATACGCACGAAACCATGTCGTAACTATGGTCGATCCTCAGTAAAATTACTTTAGCAGCACATATAATAAACGACAAGCTGAAAACGTCTTTATCCCTCGGAAATAAGAATGAAAAACCTATAGGGTTATAAGGGTTGGCAGATAAATGCTAGTGTCCTAAATAAATATTGAATGTGTAACCGAAAATCTTCGATTTATTCATGTGAATACGTTTGTTTTTTTTTCTTTATATAAATATATTCAGATCTGAGATCGTCTGTGGAACAAAATGTGACAAAATATTTGTTTTGTCTCGTTCTATCGTATTGATTAAGAAAGAGAGATAAAAATGAAATCCTTAACATTTACTTCTCGATTCAATCACTGTAACCTTAAGATTTTAGAGTAGACAAAACAAGTACATATTTAGATATTTTTCAAAATTCTTCCTTTGTCATATTTAAAAAAAAATCTAGTAAGTAAAAACGGTCATTTGTTACAAAGGCGTGTTTATTTTACCAGCAGTAGTCGCAGTTTCACCCTTAGGAGAAGTTTTTTTTTTAATTTTACACAGGCCATTTTACACAGAGACTTTGAAAATTCATAAATATCGAAAATATCAAATAATATACACAAAAACATATAATCGACTAGTAGAACCCGCGGCTTCGCTCGCGCTAAAACTATAAAAAGACTAAAAAGTGGGTTTCATAAAAACTTTCATCCCCTATTTTATCCTCTTAGGGGTTGAATTTTAGAAAACGCTGAAATACGTCACTCATTATTTTTGTCGTACTCAATTCATACGAAATTTCATGCAAATATTATGTCTAAGGAATAAAAAGTTTCATACGAACTTTTATCACCCATTTCACCCCCTTGGGGGTTGAATTTTGAAAAATCCTTCCTTAGTGGATGCCTTCGTCATATGACGAATACGTGTGCGAAATTTCAATTTTCTAGCCTTAAGGGTTTGGTATGTGCGTTGATACATCAGTCAATGACTTTTGCCTTTTATATCTATAGATTAAGTATCTCCCTATTTATAGGTCGGTAAAAAAAATACAATGGCAAGGTAATAGATATAAATAAGACCTAACTAGTAGATACCTTTGCTTTGCTTATTCCAAAGAATACATAATACTGAAAGGGCTTGATCTACTGGTAAAAAAAGAATGGTGGTCTATGTTTACCGGATCATAAATTCTACTCTATACAAACAAAAAAAAATCAATTTGTTGCTTTGTTATGGTGTACAAGAAGACAAACAAACAAATATTGTGTGAATTCCTTTATTTCAATAGACAAACATACAATTAACATTATGTACATAATTTCGTTTTAGTGAAATGTATTACTGAATACATGAGTACTTCGCAAATATGGCTGTGTAGTTTGAGTAAACAATACGAACAGTTACCTAAATATATGTACATATATATGTATGTACCATAGTGGCAAAGCGTCCATACACGACGTCTGGCCTTAAAATTATTTTGCTATAATTTTACATACATTTAATTTTTAATATATAAATGTTCTTTTGGTATAAATTATTTCTTTTCGCATTAATACATATATAAAAATTGTATATTTTTGGAACGGCTTACCTCTGCTAAAATTTCACCCTTCGCCGCTGGTATGTACATACTTATATTGTCGTTAACTGTCTCACTGGTCTAGTGGTTAACATGAATGGCTGTATATCTGAAAGGCCTGGGTTTGAGGGGTTTTCTTTAAAGAAATTTTCAGTAATAGCCCAGAGTTGGAAAGTTATCAGTGCGTCAACCCCGCGACGAGTTAGAGCACGTTGAGCAATCGATCCTGTGTCTAATCTGGCCGTGGTTTACTTATATTCATTTGTGTTTTAATGACCCAGGTCTCGCACCTCTGGGATTTGCATGTGCAAAACTCATTTAAACACGATATCCATTTGCTAATACGATTAGTACGGAGAATATTGTGGGGAAACATGCAAGATTGTAAGAACCTAATGGTTTCTGAAAAATGTGTGAAATTTGGCAAAAGGAAAGGCATTTTTTAACAGAATAACTGTCTTCTACACCAAGCTCTTTTCAGTACAACTGCATAGGAATTGAGTGTAGTATATCTGGTGGTGATGGTCTACGAAGGTCGAGGATGTCGTAAAATACGTCCAGAAGAGGTCCAACTTCAAATTGAGGGTTGAACGGCTGGTACCTTGCCACAAAACGAGTTTCAATTCGTTTTTGGTGAGAGTGCCGACTCATCATCTGCCAACCTTCATGAAGGAGGACTTCTGGCCGCAGGGCGTCGTGTTTCGGAAGTTCCGAGGTCTTTTGCCCGCTGACACAGCTCACACGTCTGCACTACGTGTGAGCTGTGTCAGCGGTTATAATTAATATGTATATGTTAGTTTTAAGGTATATATTATGCTATAGGCCTCTGTTTACATATTTGAGATCCTTATGTAAATATTGCCTAAAATAAATTATTAAATTAAAATTTTAAAAAATATATAGTATATACCTTATAATATGTACATGCAAATATTACTATTCTCCACAGATATCATCCAAAATCTAGCACAACAAACGTCCCACGGGATTGCAAAATCTGTGGGAAAACAACATCAGGCTGGCACGCGTTGCGGGCACATATGAGAACGCATAGCAGTGACTCGGGCTACCAGTGCGCGGACTGTCCCAAGAGATTCAAACATCCACATTCTTTAGCTAAGCATAGGGATACACATTTGGTGAGTTTATTTATTTATTAGTTGATCCGGAACATGTTGTCTTGTCCGAAATTCATTTTTTTCTTTTTGTTATCAGTCAATTTATACATCCTACTACAATACTATATAAAAAAAATAGGTTTCTTAACATATAGGTTGTTAACTTAACTTTTTGCCCCTAAAAGTCTTGGGACTAATACGAATATTTTAAAATAATAAATTAAAAATTAACCAAATCTGTTCAGCCGTTCTTAGATGTTGTGAGTGATGTAAAAATAGAGTCATTTAATAGTTTTTATCTATCATCTATAATCTATATCAAACAAAACAATATAGTTCTAACTGGGGGCTGTACTAGTATTGTTTCATCTAGGGTATAGATGAAACCATTTCTTTTAGTTATAAGGTACATTTCTCATTTTTTTGAAATCTATACAGTAAAATAAAATTGAAGTGTCTGTTTGTAATGTCAAAATAACAGCGTTTTACTAAATGCATATGAAATTATATATGGTACGTATAAGAAAAACACATTTTTTTAAATTATTGTCTGTCTGTCTGTTTGTTCCGGATAATCTATGAAACGGCTGGACTGATTTTGACGATACTCACACTGGAAGATAGCTGATGTTATAGGGAGTAACATAAGCTACTTTTATTTTAGAAAAAGAATTAGGGTTACGTTCAAAAAGGTTCAAAAAGAGTCGCTAGTTATTGTATAACTTTGTAGTAGACGCCATCGTTAATTTTTATTAATATTTTTAAACATTCGCAGGAGAAAACGCACGAGTGCCAACAGTGTCCAAAGAAGTTCGGTTCTGCAGCGTTGTTGAACGTTCACATGAAAACACACGAACGGTTTTTACGCGGAGCGACTTTTAGGTGCACTTATTGTGGGAAAGGGTTCTTTGAATCTTATAGTTTACAGGTATTGTGATATGTATAAAGATACTTTTTGTAATTTCCTATAATAAGTTAATAGTAAGTTCAGTGTCACCATCCATTTCCGGTCTCCATTATCATCAACTTGACAATAGCAGTTTTATATAACTTACTAGCGATTCATCACTTTTCGCTCGTGTTCGACCCTAGGTACGTTTTAACGGTTAATATTTTATAGACAGATTATATATATACATTGATAATAGATATAGAAAAGTAGATAAGTACTTTAAAAAACTAAAAAAAAAATTATTCCTTACTAGAGAAATGATTGATTTCTCATACATATTTTCACCCCTTTAATGATGATTTCCGGGATAAAAACTATCATATCTCCTTGCCAGGATCTCAAACTATCTCCATACGAAATTTCATCTAAATCGGTAATCAGCAGATTAAGTGTGAAAAGGTAACAAACAGACAGACAGACATAATTACTTTCGCATTTATAATATTAGTATGGATTATGATCTACCATATGAAAATTTTATATCGAGACGATTTGATGATGGAGACAGGAGGTGGGTGGTGAAACATATCTTTAGCTTTTAGTAAAACCTTCGATTTTGCTCGACTTTAGATAATTTTCATACATTATATTGAGTTAAAAACGTGTTTTGTTGACCATTTATAACTATTATTAATTTTGTTATTACAGGTACACGAACGTACACACCGCAATGAGAGGCCGTATTTATGTGAAATATGTAACACAAGCTTTGGTACTAACTCAAGTTTAAAGCGTCACATAAAAGTTGTAAGTATTATTATTTTTATTTTATGACTACGTTCTGTTTTCGGATGGGTTTGCATTTTTACTATTATTTTGTACGCAATTTTTTAATATTTATGAGTTAAGATTTAAGGTTGTTAATCAATACGATAAAAATTACAATGGTGCACGGTTTTTCAGACTTATACTTACACGTAAACGTATTAGATTAAAATAACAACGAACCCTTTTATAAAACTAGCTATACTTTGAATAAAATAAAACTATTTTTTGAAAAAAAATATTTCGATTTTCTATACTAGCCTTTGTGTTTGTCCAGATATAGTCTATAAATAAATAAATATGTTAGCACATTAACACACAGGACCATCTAGTTCCATGGTAAGCTACAAGGCCTGTAATATGGATACCAGATAGTTGATACACTACACATATATAACTTTAAATATATACATATTATAAATATAAACACCCATGAGTCGAGTACAAACATTCGTGTTCATCGGACAAATGAACGCCCCCAGCGAGACTCGAACCCGCGACCACTGGCACAGCACGTAGGGTGGCCCTACCCTTACAAACTGAGCCAAACGTACGTACAACGTGTCGTACCTAACTCTCGTCGTAGTATCTATCTATGTAAGTATGTACTAAATTGCACCCAAATCTGTTAAGACGTTTCAGACTTCAGTGCGAAGAAGTAGCAAAAAATTAAACTTTCACATTTATAATATTAGCGCAATTCAAAAAGTCACTAAAGATACGCACTAGTAAACTATTAAGTTTAATACGTTCCATTTCGTAACTTTCAGTCGCACAGCACATCGAAACCATTCGAATGCTCCATTTGCCATCGATGCTTCATATCTGAACCCATCCGTGAAAGACATATGACAAGGAGTCACGGAAATCCCGAGGATTTTAAATTTTTGTGTAAACAATGCCCAAGCAAATATATGAAACTGAAAGATTTAAAGAAGCACACATACAAAGCCCATCCAAAAGGCAAAAGGAAGAAAAAAGTTCAATCTGACAGTGAATAATTGTTTTCTTATTTCCAATTTCATCGTTTCAGTAACGGAAACTGGAGTAACGGAATTCGTAATATATGTATAATTTTCATATTAATTACATCGGTAAATATAAAAGGTAAGTGAATTGTTTTGTTTTAGTTTCCGTTATTTATATTTCGACCAATAAATATTTTGAGCATATTAACGAGAATGTGATTGAATTGTAAGTTATTTCTATTTTTAGTTATAAGGATTCATTTTTAAAGAGTAAATATGTATACAAATATTGTATCGGAATGTAACGTTGTTTCGTTATTTTGTTAAATTCCGTTATTTATATATTAAGAATTATTATCATGAAGGGATTCAAAATGTAGTGTATAGATATTTTCAAATAAAAATAATATAATTTACAGATTAACGGGACAGTTAGACGTTTTTTAACGGATTCATTCGGTAGATTCTGATAGGGAATTGAATTTATTTAAATTCTCTTATAACACAAATTACTACTTTTTACATATATTTTTAAAATTATGAATATATAAATTCTTCATTTATATAGGATTTAAAATAAAATTCGAGAGATCTCGATAAGGCATAGAGGTAATAGTTTATTTTTCTTGTAAATTTGTGAGTACTAAATTTGATTCAAAATTGTCACAATTTTTTAAATGACTCGATATTTAAATGTTTTGGTAAGTTTTAGAGTAAGTTAGAGTAAAAAATTGCTTTTTAAAACATTGTAAATAAAAAACCAACTCGAATATGCGATAGCTTCTAATTTTCTCGTCTACAATTATTAATATTAAATTATGTAAAAAGTACAAATTTTTGGAATTTTCCTTTATTAATTAAAAAAACCCTATAAAGTAGATATTATATCATCTGTGGTTTCTTAATTTTTAGGTCATTTATTTATCTCTTTTAATCAAAATCATTACTTTTATGAAGCCAAAATACTTATTTCATTTCAGAATACAAAGTTTGACATAAATTAAACACAAAATATAGATATTTTAAATATAAATAAATTAAGTAAAATTTAGATTAAAATATCAATTTTTATTTAAATGTAATAACGAGATGATTTCCGTTACTATTAAATTGTACGGCAATTTATAAAACGCCTACATGCGATGTACCTACATTTCCAATCCGGCTAATCTCACTGAGACTGAAAAATTGCAGAAGATTTTATAACGCACTATGTGTGTGGGAGAACACACACACACACACATACACACTATCTGTCTCTTTCACTCTCACTATCCAGTAAACGTCAATTCAATATTCGCAATGAGAGAACAAGTGCAGGGCACTACCTCGACACGGAGGTATGATACCGCTCTACGTAAATAAAATTAAAAAAAGATATGAAAATTGAAATTAGAGAAATGATAATGACATATCCTATCATCTTTGTAACTGGACATAACCTATTGTTTCTATGAGTTCGGGCATAGGAGATTATCATACGTCTTTTGCACTATTAAGATGTTTTTTGCTGTTAGTTCTGGAGCCTTTTTTGGCGTTTCATGAACACACGCAGTACGTGCACAGTTTTGGCTTAACTCAGCTTTTGAGCACTATTTTCCATCATTAATGACACATTCACTATTATTTTCTCCATTGCACATTTATTCACTTTTTCGTATTTCTTCTCTTACCTCCGAAATTCAACTCAGAACATAACAATTGTGTCAGAAGTGGGATTTACTATTAACCGTCTTAGTCTGTTTATTGTCCTGTGTTGACAATTGTCTTCGGATATATAAAGCATGCTCCAGACGTACCATTTTAAATTATTATTTTTGTATAAAGACGATACAGTCTCCACTACGCGACGCTATATAAATAAAATGTTCAGTGTAGAGTTTGTAAGTAAGTTTTTTATTTGAATACATTTTTTTATTGAATTAAAACATCAAACTAGGCGTTTTATAAAAAGTCTATTTAACAATTTAACCGCGAAATATATATGTATATTTTTTCGTCATTGTTTATGTTACAGTATTAAAATAAATTTTATTAATTATAAATTATGTTGCATATAAAGTTTTTCATTTGTTAAAGGAAAATTATGTTTCACACATAATGGACAAAATAATATTGCACATGTTATTTAAATGCAGTAAAAATTAAATTACAGCTTTTCCTATAAGAAATGGATAAAAAAAATGTTGTAGGTAATAGAAAATATTAGTAATAATTACACTTAAAAGACAATTTTCCAAATTTCAGACGTTTATGTAGATTTATGTTTTGAGAACGTTTTTTTTTAATTAGTGCGTTTGTTAGAGTTCGTGAATTATTGGCGATGAACAGATTACGTAAGTATTGGCAAGATGAGATGTGCTTAGTGCGAGTTTTATTTAATTTTTACATACCTATGATTTTACCATAGTCTTAATGGAAAAAAGGCCAATTTCACGTTATTCTGTTGTATTTTTGTTAAAAATTATTAAAGAGTTTCTTGTTAAAGTTGCATTGTGTTCACTAATAGTTTAATCATGCACCTTTTAGAATGTGATTAAGATTTTGATTATAGTGAGATATAATGGACAAAAAACTTTTTGAAGTTTAACTTCTTTACGATCGTTGTGATTTGAAATTCGATGAAACGGAAATGCGACACTAAAAAGAGACAAACACATAAATATATAGGATTAAGCTGGCGAGAGAATGAGATGAGAGAATACATTGCCAAGTTGCCATGGTAACTGTTGTTATTGTCTGATAAATATATCATATTATATTCTTTCCGTATATGATATTCTATAAATATATGATTTCATATACCTAATACGCCTTATTTACTTATTTGAGATAGAATACATTACACAGGAAGTGAAAAATAATAAAATTAATTATTGAACAATATGTAATATATTATGTTTATGTCAAATAACTTTTAAACTCGGTAAAAATATTATAAAAAAAATAAACCTTACAACTATCCTACTCCTGATACTCTATTGATGATACTATATTCATCTCATTCTCTCGTAGGTTACTTTTCTAAAGATTCACTTCTACCATGTGTGAATTGCACACACGCACTTTTTTTTAGTATCATGTAATCGTAAACACTGATTGGCCAAACTGGGTTTGATGAAATTTGCCACTAAAGTCAAGATGTGGTATGAATTATTGTCACTAGATGGCGCCTTTTTATATACATAAGACCTTGTTAAAAAAAATCGCACTCGGTACAAAACTAAATAAGATCACTATGAAAGTAAACTTTTTGTCAGTTCTGACTGAAGATGAGGCTGTATGGTGAAATGCGTTTGCTTTTCTAAATTAATGAAAATGAGCACTGACCAAGTATAGAAGGAATTTAAAATATTCAATTATTATGTTATTTTTTGAAGTTTTACTTCTTTTGGCACGTTTGGAAAAAAATGTGAGAGTAAAATTTTTACTCACACCGACAGCCAAAAAACGACATGATGAAGTCAGCTGCATACCTTTTGCAAACAGAGAATTGTGACATATGGGATGATATCTTTAGCTATTTTTGTTCTGTTACGCCAAAGAAGTATAACTTCTTACGTGAGTACATAAGTACACACACACGTTCTTTTTTAAATTGTAACAATACAAAAATCTTAATAAATTATGAGAATTTATTTATAGATAAAATAATCTTTTTGTTCTCAGACGTTGGTGGTAATGATTTGAACAGTTTGAATTTAGAATTTTATGTATAAAAAAAGTTATAGATAAAATATTTAATTTCTTTTGCTCGTTTAGTATATTGCACTTTGTAAATAATTTTTAATAAATACAGTTTTTAAATGGTGTAATATATTCTTTTATTTTTTATTTTATTAACAGGGATATGAGGTTTTCTTTAAATCTATACAGTAGCTATTATTTTTTAATTTGTCTGAAAGTAATTTTAGTTAAGTTTTTATTATATTGACATGTCCCAACTTTCCTGGTTTTTAAATTAAAGCTGTCAGCCCATTTCGGGTCTACCTTTTTAATTTAATTCAAAAAAATCCTTATATTAAGAATAATTAACAATATTACACATTTTTATATAAAATATATTTTTTAACTGTTACTATAATCATTGTACACTAACAAAAACAAATATTATTTTATTTGTTTTTATCTGTTACTTATCCATACTTCAACAAAGTCAAATTTAAAAAAAAATATTAAATGGTCTCGAATTACCAACATCTTAGATTGGACTTAATAATTTACTAGATATATCATAGCATATCTAACATATTTGATAATATGGAGTTCTACCCTCCATAATTGATAATTAGAAACTCATTTATGTCACAGTTTGTGTGACGGGAAGTAAATTTGTCATTTCAGATGTCATGGTCACATGGTACGTGTCATAGAAAAATAAAAACAATAAAAGTATCTCAACTGGCACGCTTTAAAGCCATTAACAAGAAAATTGAATTGAATAAATATATGGGAAAAGTTAATAAGTGCACCTCTTTTAAAGTAAAGAAACCTTCAAGGGATTTTTATCCTATTATATTATATAATAAAACGTTACTATTAATTTTCTATCTATGAAAAAAACAGTAGATTGATCATAGAAAGGAAAATTGCCTTTCATCCTTTTGATAATGGGATGTATATTGTTTTTTTGATGTTTTATTGAATTTAGCAAGAATTGATACTTGAGGAGTTATTATTACTTTAAACAAATATTAGAAAGTGAAAGAAAAAAAAAATGTGACACAGCACTTATGTCACAAATCATGTGTGACGTTATAGGAGCATAGACTGTATGTCATTTTTTGGAAAGGCGGGTGATGCTACCGTAAAATATAATTGTTTTTATCTTCCAAACATGTTTTCTATAAAAAATCATTATAAGCACATTATTATCTTGTTTAGATGTAAGGTTTAATGTATAAATTAGTGTTATAATAGATTATTACCTATTAAGACTTTACCAAAATTGTAAATGTCGTCTTTGTCACAGATAATAAATATTGCAATTTCATTGTGGTTTTATTTTTTTAATCTTCTCATTTGAAAATCTAGTTTGCCCTTATAATTTACATTTTCCTAGAATCGAATATGGTTATCTCTTGATGCTATATAATAAAATAACAAAAAACATTAATTTGCAATAAAGTAATTTTTTGTGACAGTATCATTTGAAATGCCTCTATAAGAGTAAAACTTTTGCTTATTCCAGTTTCTATGATACTGACTTTATTATTGCATTAAGCGCTTTTTTAACGTCCCACTGCTGGGCACGGGCCTCCCTTCAATAGTCCACCACACTGGCAAAGTGCAGATTGGCGGACTTCACATATCTTTCGAAAACTTGCTAGGTTCTCTCAGACATGCAGGTCTCCTCACGATGTTTTCCGTCACCGTAAGGCAAGTGCCAAGTGGTAATCGTGTTAGAAATGATTCGCACATGAAAATGTCAAAGATGCGAGATCCGGGATTCGAACCCGCTTCACTCTGTTTCCCAAGCGAACGAGTTACCACTGAGCTACCACTGCTTATTGACTTTGTTATTATTACTTACTAATCAATTAAAAAATATGTTTGTTAGGTACTTCAAAAAAAAGTTTATTCCTAATTAATACTTTTTCATTACATAATTATAAAAAAAACTGATGACAACAGTCTTCTCTGCAAAAAAAACAAACACAACCAAAAACCAAAAAAATAATTTAATAAAAAAAAACAACTTATTACTGCAAATATTTATTTGTATTCTTATCTTACAGACTATAACAAAGTGAAATTAATCACACACTGGATGCAATACAACAATATATTGAACAATGCAATGCCGTGAATGGTCACTTTATTTATAAAATAAAGATTCATCCTTTTCAATTGTACGAAAGTTTATTTCACAAAATCCAAAACATATACATAAATGTATATAATATAGTAATATTACATCGAAAAATCGGTGCTCTTACTAAAGTTTGAAGCAAAATTGACAACTATAAGTTATGCTATAATATTATTAGGTAGATCTTGATTTGTATCAATAAAGAAACAAGCAATGGAGAAGTTTCTCTTTTTATTGTATTAATTATAAAATTTTAAGTAAAATATAACAAATATGAGAGAATCCTTAAAATATCTTAACAAATGACAAATTTTGAAACTTTAAAGTTGCGCTTGTAATTATTTTCTATCAATTATTGATAGATTTCAAATAAATTTTCACAGATTTATTGGTTTTGACCTATATTATAATTCCATTGCGTTAAATATGATATTATCAACAATAGGAAACTTCTCCATTAGAGGCAGTTTATAAAATTTTACTTCAGTTGTCACCATTTAAAAAAATAAACAAAAACAAACTTCTTTTAAATGAAAAAAGTAAAGACAATCACCATTTTTTTATTTATATAATTTTTTGACATATTATTTGAATTAAATGATGACTTGACTATGCTGCATAAGGCCGGTCGCATATTATAAGATTTTTTCTGACAGAAAATTTCTGACGCCCGCCGGTATCATCCCGCACACCCATTAGAAACTGCCATCCAGCGAGTCTGATAGTGAGTTTAGTTCGCGGCGTCTGCTCGAAGTCTGATGCGAATTTCTGACAAGTGTGCGGAGTCTAGAACAAAATGTAGAAGAACACCCCCTCCGACGTTCTGATGAGAAAAATTCTGACGTCCGATCGATTGCATCCGGGACTCATCAGGACGTCAGACACGTCAGAATGCTGATAGTATGCGGGGTCTAGACCAAAACATTATAAGCAAAGTGCCTTCCGGCGGGCGTCAGAAATTTTCTGACAGAAAAAATCTTATAATATGCGGCCGGCCTAAAAGTTTGTCAACTCTCCATTGGAATGAACTAAAAAAAATATAGGGTGGGGCTGTATTGGGGCACACCCAACACGGCCTTTGGTTTAACGTGAAACGTCTATTACACCGAGTAGTTTTTAAAATTTTTCTTTTTATAAATATTTGAAAACAAATTTCTAAAAATAGTAATCTTTGAAGGTAGCAACGGAGAGAATATCATATATATCATTTTTCAGACAATAACAACGGTTACTATGGCAACCTAATGCAACCTATATCGTTACAGACCACTTTTCTGACCCGATACCCGCATGTTTCGGTGTGATTTTAAAGACGTTTCACGTCAAAACATTCTTCTAAAAGGAAATACGAGATTGTAAAATAAGACTTGGACACTGAGAAATATGAAACTAGCCAATAACAAATTAAATACTGCTTTGAATGTATTGTTAAGAAAATATTTTTAGATTAAACTTTTAATGGCTGATTAAAATGTTAAATGATCACTATGTCTAAATAAAGGAATAACAACTATGTCTAATGAAAATTTATTCTAAAAGTGAATAATATTGATTAAGTTTATCATCTATACAGATAAATAAAATTAAAGTGTCTGTGTGTAATGTCAAAATAACAGCTTTTTACTAAATGCATATGAATTTCTATATGATAATTATAATAAAAACAATTTTTTTTATAATTTCGTCTGTCTGTTTGTTCCGGCTAATCTCCGTAACGACTGGATTGATTTTAACGGGACTTTCAGTGGCAGATAGCTGAAGTTATTAGGATTAAGTAAGTCTACTTTTATTTTAGAAAAAGAATTGGGGTTCCGCTCAAAAAACTTAAAACGTATCTATTGACGAACTCGAGCAAAGCGAAGTAAGTCGCTATTAGAAAATATAGGTATCAAATATGTAATCTAATAACATTTAGTTTGCTGACTGCGGCAAGTTCCAAAGGAGGGCTATGTGTTAGTTTATAATAAGTATATATATAACAGTATTGATACATAGTGATTACATAATAACGGCATTATAATTTACATGTTTGCCTTCATATGACAATACAATTAATAAAAAAAAAAAAGAATATTGCAGATAAATCACTCTTTGCAATGAAAATGGTAATAAACTATAAATGAATTACTTAATTACTTTTTTACATACTTGAGTTTGGACTTATAGATAACTAAAACAATATTTGAAACAAAATATATAATTTTTAAAAACAAATTTTAAAAGAAAGAACTAACAAAATTTAGTCATGGCCGTTTAGTTATTTTTACTTATACTGTTAAAACAAAATATTACCGGAAGCCATGTTGAGTGTTAAGAATTCTCAAATCAATAAAGGGCTAATAATTCCATTTAATATTTAACAGTGAGAAAAATTCTAATATTGTTAGAAAAAAACTAAAATAGACATCAAAATAGAAGACACAAGGTTTTGCTTCGAATTCCAGAAACAATTTTACAGTACACATAATCACTGTCAGAACGGATTAATCCATTCAACAGTTTTCATAAGAAATTGTTCCAAGTAAGTTATAAACTAATAAAGAAACCTATAAAAGATGAATACCTTCAAATTATTGTTAGTTTGTAGAAACATTATAAGTCCAAAGCGATCACTTAGATGTAGATTGTGAGATTTTAAGCCTGTTTCAGTCACTCTGACCGGCTGCTTGACGCAAGAGTACATAAATTTTCTCCTTAATCCAATCCTTATTGTATGGTGCATATGTGTTTGTTGATTTTTGATACACTAAGCAACTTAAATCTGCAAGCTGAAATATTTTATAATTAATTAAATTTGATTCATTTAGACTTAAACATTTAGGGTTTCATTAAATATCAGATAAGTCTGTTGTCAATTAAATGAGTAACCAACAAAAAATATTTTTCAGAATTTACTCTATAAAAAACGATCATATAAGGTCCCTGGTATAGAAATTTTATGAGTGAAATTAATAGAAGCGTTAACTCAAAAGCGTTACATATGTTGACACGTTTGGCTCAGTTCGTAGTGACCCTACTTGCTGAGTCAATCCATAAAAAAATCATTTGTGTGACGAGCATGAACATTTGTACTCCAGTCATGGCTGTCTACATTTATAGTATGTATGTATCTAAAGTTATAACACATGCCTCGTAACTTACCATGGAACTAGATGGTGCTGTGTGTTAATGTCCTAACATATTTATTTATATTTATTTCACCTCTCACTTTATAATGTCAATGATTAATAACAAGGAAATTATTGATGTAATTAATTTTCAAAGTGTTCATGATCTCATAATAACATTTAACATATTATATAAATGAGAAAGTAACTATCTATCTGTTTCCTTTTTGTGCTTAATATTCTGAACCCATTTAGACAAAATTCAGAATGCAAATAGTTTGAGACCCTGGGAAGGACATCGGATAGCTTTTACCCCGGAAATCATCACTTAAGGGGGTATAAAGGGGGGAGGGCTTTGTATGGGGAATCGATTATTTCTCAAGGGATATAATACTCGTCACACCTATGTATATATCTAGTCTATGTATTCCATAGTACCCATCATAAAGTATCTAAGGATGAACTCAAGCGAAGCAAGGGTGAGTCGCTAGTAGATAAGTAAATCAACCTTCCTAACAATGTATTCATGTACTATAAATAATATATATTTATGTAACATTATTGATGTATAATCTTTTACCAAATCTATATGATAAATATGAATAGAATAAAAATAAATACCTATATGCTTTCAGTTTTATAAGAGATGCATTTATTTACCCTCTTTGCCTATTACATATTCAAAGACATTTGTACTTAAGGAGTAAACTGCAGTCGTGCGTGCTGATACACACACACACTTTTCTTTAACTGTGCAATTGTAATTCTATTAACTTTTTACAATATTAAGTTTAACTTAAAATCGAGAATACCGCCATCGGCTTATTATGTTTACTAACTTACTTAAAGTTGTTTATTAATATAAACAGATTAATATATAAAAATACAATCAGTATATATTAAAATGTTAATATTATAAGTATTTTTGTACTATTTCTTACCTGATCAACAAAATCAAACAATTGTGAGATATCGTAAGTTATTGTAGGTGTATTGGGATTTCTTCTTTTCAAATGTTCTTCGTATATCTTACAGACGCCTTCCATGCAGTCATTAACGCTCTCATAGTCTGAATACGTCCTTGTTTCTGGCCTGGGACCGGGTTGTACCAACAAAATTGTGTGAGACTGAAACGCATAACCTTATTTAGCGCCATTTCTTAAAAACAAAATATATTACAGCATTATAAGCAAACTCACCATTTTTATATAGAATTAGATCTGGTATATGAGAATTAAATTATAGGTAACTAATAATACAGTCACGATATAGAAAATAATGTAATTCGAGAAATATCTATTCTAAACTTCTATTTCGCGTTTGGTATTCGGTATCGTCCACAGACTATATAAGTAAAGAAAAAAAAATTAAGAAAGAAATAATAAAAATCGGTAAAACTTGCGTTCGGAAATTGCACAGACAAAATATATAAGAATGATTTAACTTCACAAATAAAATAAAGATTGTATAATATACATATTTCATATCCTTGGTTGTTTATTGAATAATATAAATATATTATATATGATTTCTATGATAGAGCAATAATAAAATACTGTGTTTATCTAACACAGATAAACATATTTAATAAATTAATTTTCAATAATACAAACTATACATAAAACGACCTACCCTACCCCAGCCTGCAAATTTATGATATTTGCAATGAAAAAAATACTAATCGATAGATTATAAAGTCTTTGAAAAAAAATTAATTTGTAGAGTTTTTACCAGCTCCACTTTCGCTGATTATTAAATAATTAAATGTTCTTTATGTTATAATTACTTGAGCAATTACAAATGCAACTTGAGCAGTGTTTTAGAACTTTGAGCATTTGAAATATTGTATACATCAAAAGATATAGGAGTTTGAATATACAGATAAATTAATTTTTTTTCAAAGACTTTATTGATTTTTAATTAAATAATTAAAGGTGAGCAATTTGAAAGGGCTACGTAGTTAAATTGAGCTATTGAAAATCTATCGATTAGTATTTTTTTCATTGCAAATATCATAAATTTGCAGGCTGGGGTAGGGTAGGTCATAAAACGACTAATAAAATTATGCCGATAAATAATAGTACATCTGTGTAGATAAGTAACTTTTTTGTTATTGTCAAATGTCAATGTAATCATATAATGTCATTGTCAATTTCCTTTTATGATTATTTGCGCATTTTTACAAATTTTACAGAAATATTATAAAATCCATGAAATGGCTGATGAAAATAGAGACTTTATTAAATCTTTTGAGAGTTCTTTACAATTACAAAATAAAAAAAAGGTAATACCATTGTATCAGGAGAATAAAACATGTAAATCAAACATCATAAAATTGAGTGCGAAGGAAGTGATTTTAAATGTTTCTCAACAAATGAAAGCCATACAAATCGCGGACAGCATTAGAAAAGTGTGTAATAAAAGTGAATTAAATATGTATAAGAAAAACGATTTTGTACCTCTTCATACATTAACAACAGATGAAGTAAGTTACAAAACCCATATTTTGTATTTACATATATTTTCTTTACCCAATAATTAACATTTGTATTATTTAAGCAAGTTTTGTAACTAAATTTACAATATAATCTTAATAATCTTATTTTTTTACCATTGATATTTGATATTGAGATGTCAAGGTATAATTTTTAATTCATTTGATTAAAAGTATTTCATCCACATTTTAATTTTATATTATTTGTTTATACAATAATAAAATGTACATATATGATTTAAACTAACTTTTATTGAATTACGATTGTTTTTAGCAACCAAAACAAACTCAATATAACAAATTTGATACCCAGTGTGTTTCTGACACACAATTAATTAATATTGTTGAACATGCTGAGGCATTAATGGATGTCCCAAAAGATATAGGCCTAGAATTTGATACTGTCTTCTGTGATCAAAATATAGCTTTAGAAAGACGTAGTCAAGTAACAACTGACAAATGTCCCAACATCGATAAAAGTAATTTAAAGTTGTTTAACAATAATTGTTTAAATAACAATGAAATTGCTAATATTAATGAAGGAGAAAGTGATCAACAAAATTTTTTTGCTGAGATATTCCAATATGAAAGTTGTACACTCAAAGAATTAGCAAGAGCTCATAGTAAAGATATAGATCTTGATCTACAAGAATTCACAGAAGATCGAAAAAGTCCAATACTAAATAATGTACATTCACCAATTGTTAAGTCTAAATCATCATCCCCACTTGTATTTGGTCTTGAGACATTTGAAAAATTTGAAACAATAGCAATGCCAGTAATAGAAGAAAATCACGATATTGAAACTGCAAAAAAAATAATTAATTCACAGATAATATCTAAAGAATTATATACACAAAGTCATGTTGAACCAGTTTTGTGTGACAGAGACAAATCTTTAAGTCCTATTTTAAAAATAAAAAAGAAGAATGTAGAAAATGTCAAAAATGACACTATAACTAAAGTACAAAATGGCATACTTACTGTAGAGGATAATGTTTTATTCAGTAGCGATGAAGAAGATGATATCAATAAGAATAAAGAATTGCCATTAACTTGTGCTTTAGAAACATCATTTTACAATGAACAAGATCTTGATAAAACAATGTATGTTGGTTTCCAAACAGCAAGCAATAAATCTATACAAATATGTTCAGAGTCTTATAATAAAGCAAGGTCTATATTAGATGATAGTATTAATGATATCCCGCTTATAAAACTTGTTGAAGTTATTGACAACAGTTACAATAATATTGAAGAAGAAAAAAGTTTGAACCAAAGGAATAAGAATGAAAATTTGATACTTAATACCATTGACCTTAAAAAAGTTCATACAAATAGTTTAGATATAACTCAAAAAGATTTTGTAAATAGTAAAATAGTGTCAAACAATTCCAATTTTAATAAGGATAACAAACAACATGAATCAGGGTTTGAAGATGTTGTTATAACATTAAGTAATAATAAAACTAGATTATCCCAAACTTTATGTGTTAAAGATGACAAAAATGTTAAAGATGAGAGTATTATTTTATGCCAAAAACATGTTTATAATAAATCAGATGATGTTAGATTTAATACTGAATGTACTAAAGAACAAATATGTCCTACAGAGCAGTTAAATATTGATGATCAAATTTTAAAGGAATTTGAAACCAATTTTGTAGTTGAAAGCAATTATAATAATAATGAAATAGGAATGGTTATAAAAAGTACATCAGATATAGAAAATGTAAACAAAGATTATTCTTCTGACCGTACAGTAGCATGTAATGTAAAATATGAAGGCTTTAAAACTGCAAATAACAAAGAAATTAAACTATCTGCACATGGCTTAGCGAAAATAAAAAATATTTTTGAAGATATTGATTTGACAGATATTCAATTTGATATGGACTTAGATAATTGCAAAAAAAACTTTATAAATTATAATATTAATGAACCTTCTACAAGTAAAGGCTGTATGGGTTTTGAAATAGCTACTAATAAACAAATTGATGTTTCAGGTATATCTTTAAAAAAACCTGTAAATCACGATATTAAAAAGTTAAATGTTTTAGACAAATTTAATAATAAAGCAAAAAATATAAATATTAACTGGACAAATATTAAACCAGTTTTAAATAAAACATATCCAAAACTTATTAGAGAGGATAGTGACCTTTATACTGACTTAATATATAATAAAAATAATAACAAAGGAGAAAAAGATATTAATGTATGTAATGAAACATCAGATTTGGATGGTAATAATGAAATACCAACCTTCATAGGATTTCAAACTGCAAGTAATAAACCTGTCATGATATCTAATAAAGCTTTAGCTAAATCAAAGATACTGTTTCAAGATATTGAAAAAGACACCATACTAGATTGCAAAAGTGATTTAAGTGATAAATTCAAAGGTTTTCAAACTGCTAGTAATAAATTGATACCAATTTCAAAGAACGCTTTAGTAAAATCCAAAAAAATACTAGATAGTGTTGATAAAATATGTGACATGGATATACTTTATCCAACAGAAAATATTGAGAATTGTAAGCAAAGTGAAGAAGATATTGTAGGTTTAAATGAGACAAGTAATACAGAAACTACTACAGAAATTTCGGAAAAAGCTGTAGCTGTAACTAAAGATGTTTTCCAAAACATGAATGTAAAAGATAATAAATCTGGCAATACAATAAGACAAACATCGAACTCAAATACTGTTAGTCACTTTAAAACTACCAGCAATGAATCTGTTACTATTTCTAATGAAGCTTTAATTCAAAATAGGAATATAATTGAAGATAAAGAAAATAAAAATGTCAGTTTTGAAGAAAATAAACCTTATACCAAAAATAATATGGCTCAATTTCAAGGTTTAAAAACTGCTAGTAATAAATCTGTTAAAATATCTGATAATTCTTTACGTAAAAGTAGACAGATTTTTCAAGATATGGATATAACAGATTCAAATTATAATAATATACCTGAAAATAAAAGCATGTCTAAACCTAGTTTTCAAGGATTTCAAACTGCCAGCTCTAAGCCCGTACACATTTCCAAAGCAGCTCTCGATAAAACAAAGTATATTTTTAAAGATATTGATGAAAGTAGCAATACTAAAATGAATACCAATACTTTTGTTGGTTTTAAAACAGCAAGTGATAAATTCGTTAAAATATCTGAAGATGCTTTAAGTAAGAGTAGAAAAATATTTCAGGATATGGATGTGGGTGAAAGTTTTGATTGTAATATGGGAAATAAACCCAAAGAATTATCAGCTTTTGAAGGATTTAAAACAGCCAGTCTTAAGCCAGTATCAATTTCAGAAGATGCTTTTGCTAAAACAAAAAGTATATTTAAAGATCTTAATGAAAGTATTGATAAAATTAATACCAATCCTTCCAAAAATAACGCTTTTGCTGGTTTCCAAACAGCTAGTAATAAAAAAGTTAAAATATCAGAAGAAGCATTATTAAAAAGTAGAAAAGTTTTCGAAGATATGAATTTTAATAATGAGCAAAAAGTGAAAAGTGACGATTCTGTATTTAAAGAACCAATAAATAAAAGTAGAAAGCTATTAGCAGACATAGACAATAACAAAGTACCTGATAACGCCATTAACAACCGTGAAAATCTGGATTTAGAAGATTTAATCAATACAGAAGTAATTAAAGATTTAGAGGAAACCTTGTATACAGAAGATTTTTATAAAGAAGAAACCCCTAAATGTAAACGATCGGGCAGTCCGATTTTATCCTGTCCGAAAGCTAAAAAAAGAAAAAAAAATGAAATGCCAAAAACTGTCAGACAGATTAATTCAAGTGGCGATACAGATAATACAAGAACTAATAATTTGTACACATTTGATGAAAATTATAAAAAAAATAAATGTCTTAATTTGCAAAATGTAATTGAAATTGAGAAAATAAGTACTTCCGAAGTAGTAATAGATCCCTTTATTTCCAATTTTCGATTTGACACCTTATTCAAATTTGAATTTGCCGGGAAAAGAAATGACATTGACAATGACACATGGAACATAGTCAAAATAAAAAAGCTGTTTACAGATTCTGTAAATAAAAAAATAATTCCCGAAGGTTGGATTGATAACCATATAAAATTAATTATATGGAAATTGTTATCGTACGAAATTTGTTTTCCTAAAACTATGAATAATATATGTACAATTAAAAATGTGTTGCATCAATTAAAGTACAGATACGACAGAGAGTTGTATAATGTAGAGAGACCTGCTCTAAGAAAGATTTTGGAAAAGGATGAAGTTTCTATAAAAAAGATAGTTTTATGTGTTGTTGCGATTTATGTGGAAGGTGTTAATGTCAGTAGGTAAGTTTTTTTAAATTATATTTTTAATTATTTTATACTGATATAAATGCTATATTTCAGTACTTTAGTTTAAAATAATTGTTTTTTTTGTTTTTTTCCTAAATCTTTTAATAATTCTTAAAATTGAACAATAAATAAAGAGAAACCCCTTGTTTTATTTAGAATTGAAGTTTAATTAAATATCACTCTGCAATGCAGTAAAAACTTTTTTTATTAATTAATAATTATCTATATTTATTTAATCTTACTCATTGTTTATTATTAAATAATTCTATTGTAAATTTATACAGATGTTTTTAATCTGTGCTGTAATAAATTATATTTTTATTTATTAAATAATTTCAGTGTTGCCAATCCAGCACAAAATGCAGAGGTACTCTTAACAGACGGTTGGTATACAATAAAGGCGTGTACTGACAGAATGATAAACAAACTTATATGTGATGGGAAAATTACTATAGGCACAAAATTATTAATTCATGGCGCGGAGTTAACAAATTGTGACCAAGGAGTTTCACCTTGGGAGGTATATATTTTTGGTTATTTTATATAAAAAAAATATTAATCTGTACTTCTTTATTACATTTTACAAGCTTAAAAAAATATTATATAAATTAATTAATGTACACTTACAAATATTTTCTTAGATTTATGTGAATATTGAATTCAATTAACTCAAAGGTTTCACTTTCCTGTACCTTTTATTTTAAGTTAATAATAACATTTGTTTTATTTTAAGGATACGTCGGCGGTCCGTCTTAAAATATTCGGCAATTCCATACGACGCGCCAAATGGGACACTCGTCTCGGTTTCCATGGAAACGGCGCCATCTTATCTCACCTGTCATCTGTCAGACCGGAGGGCGGGAAAATATCGAGATTAAAAGTTTTTGTTGCGAGAGTGTATCCTACTTTGTATGTTGAGAAATTTGAAGATGGTAGTACCGGTGAGTATTAATGTTGCAGATTGTTGTAATAACGAAGTCTAAAAAGACATTAAATATGTTGTTGGGACATTAACACACAGCACCATCTAGTTCCATGGTGAGCTATGAGGCCTGTGTTATGGATACTATATAGTTGATACACTACACATAATAATATAATTTAAAATACATACATATTATAAATATAAACACCCATGATTGGAGTACAGACATTCGTGCTCATCACACAAATGAATGCCCCCAGCGGGACTCGAACCCGCGACCGCTGGCATAGTAAGTAAGGTCACTACAAACTGAGCCAAACGTGTCGTCTAAATATACGTCATTATACTAATGACTTGCCATTGCTTCACTTGGGTGCGTCTCTACGTGTCTGACACAAGATTATAGGTTAGACAGACTTCCCCCCCAACGTGCGTTCACCTTGTCGTGGTGGGGGGGCTCAGTAGTGCCCGGCAATCCAACCGGGCGCGAAGCTAAGAAACGCACAGGGAGGTTGCCCACTTCGGTGGGCGGTGGGAGGTGGCCCTCTTCGGGGGGCGGTGTACCATGCGGGTTGCTCCTGGTACTTCTCTGATAGCAGAGTGGACTGTGGAGCAACCCCATGGTTGTGGTGGTCTGCTTCGGCAGACCTGCCGTCGGGGCGTCGTAGTTGAATGCGTAAGCGATCCTGCGACGTCCCATTAAGACGGGGGAAGGTTTTGTTGGGTTTTAGTGGGTAGTACTGGCTGTATTACGCCGGTGAGTCCCACACGTCGTGCGTAAATGCATTTCCCAACGTTAAAAAAAAAAAAAAAAAAAGGTTAGACAGACTTAGGGTTAGGGAATAAAATAGAGTGTCATAGAACTAAACATGAAGACGAACAATAAATATCAAATTAATATATCTATACTTATTATAAAAATAAGTCCCCCGGCCGCGTCTTTCTGTCCTCCTGTCTGTCCTCCTGTCTGTCTGTACGCGATAAACTCGAAAACTACTGAACGGATTTTTATACGGTTTTCAACAATAGAAAGAGTAATTCTTGAGGAAGGTTTAGGTATATAATTTATTATGCTTTTATGTAAATTAGCTGAAATACGGCGACAAATGTTGAAGAGGTCGCAAAAAATCTCGCCAAATGGGAACTTTCCACGCGAACGCCGCGTAAACTAGCAAAGATACAGTTAAGTAATGTACTAGAGAATTCAAAATCTATAAAAATGCTACAAAAAAGTCCGCGATAGCATATCTCTATCTCTTACGGTTGACTTACAATAACCACTTTTATGTTAACATTTTTAATTAAAAACATTACGTTATTTTCAAAGTTATTTTCTTTAGTTCGGTATTAATCCTTATCCAAATGAATATTTTAGTTAGCTTAGTCATTTAATGCAGATTAAAATTGCTCTTTACACTAAATCAATCAGATGAATAGTTTTTGAGATATCGTTGTTAGAAGTAATTAGTAGCGAAACATTTTTAATGCTTGGCGAGCATTGAGATGCCTACGGCGAGTCCATCCCCTCTGCCCCGCATCGCTCGACCGCCTGCTCAAGCTATATAAACCGGGCGATGTAGCGCGCGATCCTAGGATACTTTTTACCGCGGGAAAATATCTTATTTCTGAGGAAAAATACAAAAACTGCAATGTAAGAGTATACTAATATGTAACACCTAAGAATTTAGTTTTTGGTCATCTGAACGCGGGCGGAGCCGCGGGCAATGCTAGTAATCTTATAAAACAGTATGTAAATGTTAATAGAATATTAATTTCTGTGATAAGTTAATAAATGTTAATCTATACTGATATTATAAAGAGGAAAGATTTCTTTTTTTGTTTGTTTGTACCGAATAGGTTTCGAAACTGATTATTACTGTTGAAATACTACTGAACTGATTTAGATTAAATTTGGTAATAAGATAGTTTGAGACCCTGGGAGGATATAGGATAGTTTTTATCCCGGAAATAATCCTTTAAGGGGGTTAAAATGGGGATGAGAGTTTGTATTGGGAAGCAAGTTAGGGATGAATCCAAGCGAAGCGAGGGTGAGTCGCTAGTTAATAATATTAGTACTACAACTATTTTTGATATTAACATTTTTTTGGCAGGATTCGTTTATATAATTCTTTAGTCTGAGTTCAGCTCATAGTCTATCTGTATACTTTCATCCAAATCCGTCCAGCTGTTCCATCATGAATGTAACAAACTACACACAGACACACGCACGCACGAACGAACGTACGAAAGCGCACATACGCACAGACACAGACTCACACACACTAGGACAGACAAACACACATACAGACAAACACATACGTACTGTCATATTAATAGTAGTAGTCCGATAATAAAAGATTTGTCTATATATATTATACTAGCGTTTTCCTGCGGCTCCGTCCGCATAGCACATTAATAACCAACATATCATATACTAAACCTTTTCCGAAACACGCTGAATCTTATGGTATAAGTATTATTCCGATCGGTTAAGTAGTTATCGCAGTATAAAAAAAAAATCGGCTCTCCATTTATTAGTATAGATATTTATGTTTATTGTTCACAGTCACCCGTTCAGAGCGTTTGGAAAATCAGTACCAAATGAAGTTCGAAAACGAAAGGCAATTCCAGTTGGAGAAGTTGTATGAAGAAGTTGAGAAATATTCTGACAAGGTATTTAATGTAAATTATGATGTCTGAGGCGTCTAAAACCTCAGCCTCACCCGCGACCATGATTGCCATAAAGCATTCGAAACGTCGGGAACCAAAAATCAAAATAAATCCGAAAAGATAGTTTTATTTAAAATGGATGTTCTTTTCAGGAATCTCAGGATTCAGAAGGTCTTGACATTGAGAAAGAGAGCTTTGAGTCGGGATCACAAATATGTAAGATGATGAAAAGAAGTAGAGATCCCTCGGAGTTAAGAGTGAGTTTGAAATTTTTTGAACGACTTTAAATAAAGGGAGGTACTCGTAATCGCTGACTGATTTTTCTGTTTTTTGTTTTTTTTCATATAAATATATTTTTATACAATAAGAGTGGTTTCGTGCCAGTTTAAAACTTTGATGCAGATCCGGAGGTCCAAGTTCGAGTCACGGGTCGGGACAAGTTTAGTTATTGGGTTTTTCTATTAAAAAAAATAATTTGTAGTCCTGCTATGTACGTCTTTCTCTCTGTTTGTCCTTTTAACAGTTATAGATAGTCGGTTGAAATTTTCACACAATATTTCGTTATTGCGATTTTTCGTTAAAAAAGTTCTGTATAAGTAAGATTTTTTGCCTTAAAGTGAACTCGAACTTGAACAATAAATTTTCATAAGAGAAGGGTATTTTTTAATGATTTTATTGTAAAAGCACACTCACGCTTGACCAATTTTTTATTAAATTGATTTATCTTCCCAGGCCGCCCTTACGGAATCTCAAGTTCACTTATTACAAGAACACGCGTCGAAAAAACGTGAAAAACTAATAGAAAATTTGCAAAAGAAAATTCAAGATTTGGTCAAAAAGCGTGGTCTGAATGTGAATAGGAACGTTGTTACATTACTGAAACTTCGAGTTGCTGATGTGAAAAATGAAAATATAATTAAAGGTAAATGAATGTGTGGTTTTGACGACACATTTGGCTCAGTTTGTAGTGACCCTACTTGCTGTGCCATTAGTCGCGGGTTCGAGTCCCGCTGGGGGCATTAATTTGTGCGATGAGCACGAATGTTTGTACTCCCGTCATAGGTGTTTATATTTATAGTATGTATGTATTTAAAGTTATATATGTGTAGTGTATCAACTATCTGGTATCCATAACACAAGCCTCGCAGCTTGCCATGTAACTAGATGGTGCTGTGTGTTAATGTCCCAACATATTTATTTTATTTAAATCTAAGCTATCTCTTAGATTTTCGCGAAGAATTGACATTTTTAATAAGATGGTAGTTTTGGGGAGGGGTTTAGGGGGATCAACTTAGTGTGACATTGTGTGACAAGGTGCAGGAGCGAGTCATAAGCTTCGTGACGTCACATGTCAAAATCTAAAGTATTAAAATACAAAACATTAACTGTAAACTACTATGATATTTATGATATTTTTGGAACTACTGTTTTTATTTTATTCAGTTCTGGGTGCGAAATTGCAAAATATGTGACGTCACACCAGGGGGGGGGGGTCCCACAAATGTGACCATCTGTGGCTGCGTGCGTAATTTATGGATGGCCCCTTAATACAAAGAAAAAAAATTCAAATTGAACAAAAATGTGTTTTGAGAAAACAATATTTTTTTCTTATTTATTTTAGCCATGATAACTATATGGAGGCCAAATGAATGTTTAATCGATTTAATAAAAGAAGGCACGTGGATTGAAATGTATAATGTCGTACCTACAGCTGTGAGGTAAATATAATAAGACTATATAAAACTTTGTTTAATCAATATAAAATAAAACTTTTTGTTTATCTGTAAAACAATGGTGGATTTTCTTACTATAATATACTAGCGACTCATCCTCGCTCCACTTGTGTTCGTCCCTATGTTGCTTCTCCATACAAACTTTCATCCCCATTTTCACCCCCTTAAGGGGTGATTTCCGGGATAAAAACTATCATATGTCTTTCCCAGGGTCTCAAACTATCTTCTTACTAAATTTCATCTAAATTGGTCCACTAGTTTCGAAGCCTATTCGGTACAAACAAACAAACAAAAAAAAAACTTTCTTCTTTTTAATATTAGTATAGATTTGAATTCGAATTTATTAATGTTCAGGTATTCCGAAATACAAATATCAGCTGGCAGACAGTCAATTTTCAAAATGTCGAAGATAAAAGAAACTGATAAAATAAAATCTCAAGTTCAATCTCTGAAAAGAAAATCGTACACTATAAAAGACCTACAAACTCCATTAACTACAGACTATAACGAAATAGACACGTGTGGTTTTATTTTTTTAATAGAACCATTGAATAAAGATTACGATAGTACGAAACAGTTGTTCCAAAATGTATATCTAGCGGATGAAAATAAAAATATCATTGCCATAAATTTTTGGGGTGGACTTAAAAAATTTGGCTTCGAAAATATATTAGACACGGGACAAATAGTTTCGTGTGTTAATTTACAAAAGCGACATGGCAACACCAAGAAATGTATACCACAGTTTCGAGCAACAGAGTTTACATATTTTACAAAAACATGTAAAATTGATCATTTGAGATTAATGACAGAGGAGTTATGTAATAAATATTCAAGTTTAGATAAAAGAAAATATATTGAAGATTGTGTTGCTATTAAGAATAATTTTGCCAATACGAAATATGGCAACACTGAAAATATTTCGCCATACAGATTAAATAACAGTGATTATAATTTAACTAAAAATAAAGTTTTCATCGATTCTCCAACAGTTAATAAGTGTACGGATGAAAATTTAAATCTGACAGGCTTAGATTTTGAATCTACATTCAGACTAACAGACACACAAGAGCTTTCGCCAAAGACTATGCTGAGAAAAAAGAAATTAAACGAGAAAATAGCAAAACTAGAAATGTATGGGGAACCGCCGCCATTAAAACCTATACATATAATTAATAAATCAAATATTATACATAATTCATACAAAAGCCCTTTATGTAACAGTGTTGCTAGTGTCGTTCGAAAAAGTGTAAATAGTGTTGCCAGTGTTGAAAAAATATCCGAGAATATTTCTAGTCCATTACTAAATAACAGGACGTTTGTGAAAAATATAAATCCAGTGAAATTAAATTTTTCTCATACCATAGAAACGGAAGATCCGTTTGCAGAAGAATTTGATTGTAGTCCCCCATTGAGTTTAGATTAATAATTTGTATTATTCATGATTTAGATGAAATAACTAAAACAACTGACTTACTAACTGAACCAAATTTATATATGATGACGACACTTTTGGCTCAGTTTGTAGTGACCCTATTTGCTGTGCCAGCGGTCGCGAGTTCGTGTCCCGCTGAGGGCATTCATTTGTGTAATGAGCAAGAATGTTTGTACTCAAGTCATGAGTGCTTATATTTATAATATGTATGTACTTAATGTTATATATGTGTAGTGTATCATCTATCTGGTATCCATAACACAGGTCTCGTAGCTTACCATGGAACGAGCTAGTGCTGTGTGTTAATGTCCCAACATATTTATTTATATTAAAATTATTATTTTTAGAATAATCTTCAAATACTCGATTCAGAATGTTAACTAACTATATTTGGTAGCAATATGTAGAATTGTCTCAGCAAAAATTTCACAAACTGTATTTATGTGAATATGTTGTTAATTTGTTATGTAAATATGTATAGATTAAACAGATATTAAATATTTTTTGTTTAATTATTTTTCATTTTATTACAAAATCACTAAAAGTGAAAAAGATTGAATGTTATTTAGATTAAAAAATATCAAACATACTAATTATTTATTTTAATACTCTGTGCTCCATATTATTGTCCTAATAATGCCCACTAAAGGAATAACTGGAATAAATTTAGGGGCTAAACTCTTTCTAAGGAAGATATCACATAAACACAGATTAGAAAGATAAAATATGTTCTAAGCAAAAGAGGTAGCATAACTAAAAACTAACATTTTACGTAGGAAGTTATCTCTAGTAGCTTTAGATTAGAAAAAGACATACCGGAAAAATATATAAATTTAAAAGACCCCATGCTCATAACTTAGATTTTTTTATTTGAAGATTTAAATGAAATAGTAGCTGCATTAACTACTGTTTGAAAGAAAACAGTTCATCTAAAATTTAGATTTTCATCTCTCGCACTAGGTGACCCGATAGTCGTGGTCCTGTCTAAAATTCCACCTTTCAGTTTTTTAGAATTTTCTAATTTTCCGATTAATTTTCATTTACTAGCAAAAAACTTTTACTAGCAAAAAGAGGAATCAAGCGATAAAGGCATCTAATAATTTCAGAGATAAAAAGGGTTGTTTGAGGATTAGTAAGGAAAATATTCAGTTATCTTTTGTTGAAATGATTAGACTACAATATTGCAATAGTACCTGAATCTCACAATATATCGATAAAATTACTGAACAAATGTCAAGAACAGTTAAAGAATATCGCATCGCTACCTTATATTTTTTTTAATTATTTTATAACTAGAAGAACCTGCGGCTTCGCTCGCGCTAAAACTACAAAAAAAACTAAAAAGGTAGGTTACCTTTTTAGATGTCATACAAACTTTCATCCCCTATTTTGCCCGCATAAAGGATGAATTTCGAAAAATGTTAAAACATGTATTTATTTATTTGTATTGAAGAGCATTAATACCAAGTTTCAAGTAATTCTGATCAGAAATAAATTTTGGATTGTATTATATCGTGTTTTCCCGTGGGAATGAGATGAAAAGTAAATTCTTCCGCGATAAAAAGTAGTCGACGTCACTCTCCAGCTATCCAACTATCTTCACACCAAAAATCTCGCCAATCTGTCACTCCGTTTCGACGTGAAAGAACGACAAACAAAAAAAACACAAACAAACAAACACACTTTCACATTTAAAATATTATAGTATGAATATTATAAAAAAAATATATCATATAATTAAAAAAAAAACTAGGTATGGCAACACATTTCTGTCACTTGAAGGTGACCTTCACATCATCCGAGTTTGACGTTTCGTAACCCACTAAAATTATTTTCGTTTGAATTTCCTACCCGCGTAGACATGTTTTATGCAATAAAATTACCGTAGCACATTACGTTAAAATTAAATTGTGATTATAGCTATCCTACCACGTGTACAGTGAATTATTCAGTGATAATTTAACTCATTTCGCCGCGTGTGTTGTAACTTTCTTTTAATCGGTAAGTTTACTTTGAAGTAAATCCTGTTGCCGGCGTGGTTTAAAAATAGTTTCGTCTATATCTATAAACATTGTAAGGCTTTTATTACATTTTAAATTTTAATGTAGTTTTATTTATACCTTATTTATAATTAAACAATTTTTATTTTGTAAAGATCGAAACGACCGGCAATTTTTAATTTATTATCATATAATTTACATATAAATTATTAAATTCTTCAAGTTCCTATTAATATGTAAATGGACATTAAATACTTTTGAATGTAGGTAATATAATGTCACTCTAACATTATAAATTAATATTTTTTTTACACCTCCTACCATTTATGTAAGTTAAAAATTATTTAATATCAATAAAATTATGTATATTACAAATTACTATGTTCTATGTTATTATATTTCTAAAGCATGTCTTTAATAAAAAAAGAAGTATCTGTGCCTATATTCGTATTATATCACTATATCAATGTAATGAATGTCAAGAGAAATGTTATCTATTAAATTACATAAAAATTATTGTTTGGTTTTTAGATTAGCTTAATAATAATAGCAACTTAATTCAGCTTTCAATATCATCTAGTTACATGAGAAATATGTTTCAGTAGTGAAGATTTTAGCTAAGAGCATAATTTTATTTTTTATAATTTATTATAGGTGCTAGTATTTTTCAACCGACTTCAAAAAGGAGGAGGTTCTCAATTCGACTGTATTTTTTTTTCTTTTTTTTTTTTTTTTATGTTTGTTACCTCAGAACTCCGTCATTTATTAACCGATTTGGACAATTTTTGTGTCGTTTGAAAGAGTATACTTCCAGATTGGTCCCATTTATATTTCAAAAAAAAATACCACCCCTAAGGGTGGAAAAATAGCTAATGATGAATTTAACCTACTTCTAATTGTCATATTGACTTGAAACTTTGCAAGTGTTTCTATTTCCGTTGATAGTACAGTGGTTCGGTATTGTTGACCTGATCTGATAGTAAGGCCAGAAGGTGGATAGGTGGAACTCTTCAACGGCTAATAGTAGATACTTTGAGCTTGGGTTTGTTTTGTTTGATTTGACAAGCCTAATACGTTAGAATTCTTAGTTTGCTACTACTGTCTACACTAAAAAGGGAAAAATAAAAATTTTTTAACAAAAAAATAAAAACCGACTTCAAACAAAAGCACTAAAAAGTAAAAAATAACTGATTGGTAGTTTTCATTTACTATACATACCTAATCAAATATTTTCGAAGTCGGTGTGCTTTGACTAAGTAATTAAAGTCTACCTTTTAAATACATACCTAATCAAATATTTTCGAAATCGGTGCCAGCCCATATAAAGCAAAGCACACCGACTTCGAAAATATTTGATTAGGTATGTATAGTAAATGAAAACTACCAATCAGTTATTTTTTACTTTTTAGTGCTTTTGTTTGAAGTCGGTTTTTATTTTTTTGTTAAAAATTTTTTATTTTTATGAATTTTAGCCGACTGATATATGGTGTTCTCTCCAAAGTTTGATCTTTAAGTTATCTCAGAAACCTAAAAAATTAAAGCATTAAGTTTTTCCGAACTTTTTCAGGCAATTTATGCTATTTTTCCCTTTTATTCAAACTAATATTAAAAATATAAAAATATCAAATTGGTTCAGGTTCCTGTAATGGATTCAATAATCAATGAAAAGCTTAACTTATTACAAATCAATATTTTAAAATAAACATCTCATACTTCATTTGGAACAACATACAATACTATACAATAAACTGTTTGAACTTTTATAATTATTCTATTCTTAAACTCTTATCAAGTAACACACAGAAGTACAAGCTAATAAAAACTTAAAAAAAAACTGACTTCCAAGCACTAAAATGTAAAAAATAACTAAATGGGGGTTTTCATTTAGAATAGATACCTAATCAGATATTTTCGAAGTCAGTGCCAGCCGATGCAAAGCAAATCTAATATATTTCGATACGTAAAATACATATTTACCTATTAGATTTGCATATCTTAAAATATTATCGGCTGGCAAAGACTTCAAAATATCTGATTAGGTATCTATTCTAAATTTCTCTGTTTAGTTATTTTTTACATTTTAATGCCTGGAAGTCGGTTTTTATTTTTTTAAGTTTTTATTTTTCCATTTTTAGTGTAGACATATTAAGCAGGTAATTTGTAACAAGAAAGTTTTTTAATAACATATTCGATTAAGAAATTTATTTAAAAAAATAATTTATTGTTGATTTCTTAAAAAGCTGCTCGACCGATTTCGATAAAATTTACCTGGGAAGTATACCCTTTGAAACAAAAAAAACTTTTTAACAAAAAAATACAAACCGACTTCAAACAAAAGCACTAAAAAGTAAAAAATAACTGATTGGTAGTTTTCATTTACTATACATACCTAATCAAATATTTTCGAAGTCGGTGTGCTTTGGCTAAGTAATTAAAGCCTACCTATTAAATACATACCTAATCAAATATTTTCGAAATCGGTGCCAGCCCATACAAAGCAAATTCCATATTCCCATATTTCAAATTCCCATAGACCCGATTCCCTCTTCCCATAGACCGATTAATTCGATAAAATAGTGACGGTGTCCTTTTTTGCATTTTCATATGGTTCGATTCCCGCTCAGGTAAGTTTAAAAAAAAAATTAAAAGCATCTATTATTATTTTTAAAAATAAAGAAATATTTCCTTTGAGTAAATCTTGATAACTGCAATATTTAAGGTAGGTACTTAAATATGCAGAATTCATTGATAACGGCAAAATCTGGCAACGACACTGAAGATGATGTGATTTAGCAAAATTATCGATATATGGATATTTTTTACTATACATACTTCGTGTATCGATACTTTTAATAATATTATATTTTTTTCACTTGCCTATTCCTATGTTGTGTTTTTGCCACAATAGACAAGCAAGCAAAGTCAAAGCAATATGTAATTATTCATACTTGTTGTCATGTAAGGGTACCTTATTTTCCGTATAAGTTG